AAGAGTCACGTGTGAATGTAATATCTGAACAAATCGAAGTTACCACAATGCGTAAAAATTAATCAGAATTCGATCGATATTTGGCCGTTACATGTAAATTCGTAAAAATATCAGCAAATGAATAGATTAACGCGAAAGGAAGGACACTAGAGAATGCGTTGAGTTGGTTTCCTTCAATAGTTCATAAAATTATTATAACTCTCTCGTGGCGGACTGAATTAGCGGAAATTGTCCAAAGCACAGTGCACGTGTAAATTCCCTCGGCTACAATAACGCAGTGTTCTTATTTCTTTGCACATTTTTCAACAGCATACTTTTTCGTTCGTAATTATGACGCAGGTTGCGCATCCGCTTATACGATATTAATTAATGCTCATATAGCTGTACTTCCGCTTGATTTTACGCGCGAAAGTCTCGCTGTTTATTTATGGAGAGTTTACTCAGCCTGGCATGGGTTGTTCTCAGTGTATTTTATAACATCCCATCCGAATAAATATTTCAAACTCCATTATCTTTTATTATAAAAGAGTTCAGAATCAGGAGGACAAATCGTATATATCACATATTAAGCGCGCATACGAGAATTTTATTTAAAAAAAGGATGGACAAAATATGTAGCTCTAATTTGAAAGTAACATATAAATATATATATATATATATATATATATATATATATATATATATATCTGTGTGAGAAGATGTAACTACGAAATTATAAGCTCCGCAAAACATGCAAAGATGGAAAAGCTTTTCTTGAGAAATGTAAGGGAGACGATTCAAAGTCACGGTGAAAATGTAGACACGCTCTAGGCGACGTGAAACGTGAAACCGTGAATTCTGTCTGTAAGTAAGATTAAGTAACGTCAAGTTACTTATAGTTAGTGATGTATGCGAGGGTTTAGCCCTTCTAGAAGACTTTATACAACATTTGGCAATTTCTTACTCCCCCTGTTTCACTCTCTTCCTCTTTCTCCGAGGGTCATAGTTCATTGCTGAGTTCCAAGCTGTATTGTCTCGTCATATTTAATGCATAACCGAAAAGAAAGAAGTAGGTTTTGTATGATATTCTCTTAATTCTTGAAACATTTCAAAGGCAAAAGTCTTTCGAAGACTTTTCACATTCTTCATCTTGCCTGTTTTTTGTTTTCCTCTTCTCTTTTCTTCACACAATGCTTTGTATTCTTGCGTATCGCTTCAGCTGTTTCCTCCTTGACTTAATGACGTCACGATGTGCCAAGACATACCGGTATTAGTACTACGTAAAGTCTTCACGAAGGTGGTATTTTTCACTTGATTTTAATCTCTACGTTTACCTTCTAGCTCGGCTCTGTAAAATCTGTGTCAACCCCACTACACTGACAGCTCCAGTCACTTAGCGTCAACCATTTTGTGCTCTCATCTCGTTGACTTTATTTTATTCTCCTTGCGCGGCCGCCTAATACAATTTGCCGGGCTAACAGCTTCAACGGATGTGCTTTTTGATCTTAAAGACATCATTAAGCGGCCAAGTCTAGGATAATGCGTACCACTTTACGGTCTGCCGCAATCTAAAAACAACTCTCCTTATTTCGGTAATCGATGCACTTCGCACTCTCCCGCTTCGCTCCGCAGTTAGAGCTCGCCAATCGATGGAAAGAGAAAAACACACATACACTATGTCTATTTTCTTTCGGAACTTCTCGTCTTTTCGTTTATTACACACGATTTCGCAATTATCGAGCGGCAATTATCGGATATTAATGTCTTCGAAATGAACTTTTAAATGGCTTAGAAAACAAGTACGCCAACCTTTCCAATCTCAATGCCTTTTAATTTGCTCGAATGTACATAATTCCATCGGCATTATGCTTCTTTTTATTGACGCTGAAGCCTACTAAAACGCAATTAGCAAAGTGACTTCTCTCTCCTAAAACGTTCGTTCAGAAATGCCTTGAAAAATTACCGCGACGAGCTAAGCCCGCAATTTCGTTTCGCGTGATGCGACGAAGACCTTGTCGCGAGACTTTAATTGAAATTTTATGTTTGAGAGAGGGCAACTTCAATCCCTCGAAACAAAGAGGCGATATTATATTCAACTCGCCTCTCTCATCGCGGTTCATTCGCTCCGCTTTGCGCGTAGAGGCGGATAATTAAAATTCGGCGTGTGGATTTTCGCCGACCGACGAGATATTCAGGTTCGCAGCTCGTTATTACGAGACGTCACGGCAAATTATACAATTCATTCTCGAATCATATCTATTGGACATAAGAAAAAGTACAATGTAATCGAGTTTGAAAGTACATTTATGTGAAATTCGCGAATAAAACATCGGAGTTCGGTCACAAAAGCGCGTCACTGCTCAGTTTCTCGTGCATCGCGCGCAAAAACACACGAAAAGAATGTATATTATAGTTTTTTTCATGTAAATCGTTTTTTAATTGAATTATTTCTGTATTTTTTTCTAATAGTGCAGGAATAGAGTCAGATCTATCTTGCTGAGGAACATAGTAAATTTCTTTAACAAATTTTTTAGCAAATTTTTTAACATATTTTAGTTCTCAAAATATAAATGGCACACAAAAATAGAGTGACAGTCGAATCATTAGAAATTGTTAGTTTTTTCCTATAGAGCGAATTTTCCACTTTAAATTGTTTAGTGAAATTATCCCCTAATTCAGAGGAACATATTTACTCCAGTCGATTAAAACTTTTGCTTATATGGAGTCAGAATCAAATCTAGAGTGAGACATTCACTTTTGTAGTTTTGAGTAGCAGTATTTTCACTATCGCCTCAAGTGAAAATACTGTCATTTTTTATTCAAGAAATTTAGATAGTAAGATTATATATTTTCTTGGATGCACATGTGAAATGAAAGGATGATAAATTACTGCAGAATGTCGATATATTCCTCGGTTACAGAGCTCTGTAGCAATTTTTACTGTAAAATTCTCCGTTTTCGATAAAGTTACAAGAAATTTATTCGTGTCTGGGTAGATCGCAAATAAACAGACTTCTGAGCGTCTTTCTATCTAAATATAGAAACATGGTGATGATAGGTTGATATGCATATCTTGCCCTGTGGCGAATTGAAGTTAGTATAAGTGGCACAATAGAAGCAGACCGTGGCTTTATCTTATGTAGTCACCGTATTCGAAATTCCCGACGAATTTCCATAGTAATTGTTGTGCCAGAAACGGACGCGTGGCGCCGCCGGTTCTATTACTTACTGGTTTACTTACACGTCTGTTATACCTAGCCGTGTACGCGCGCGGTACAAACCTCCTCGCGGTTTCACGCATACACATATTAATACCGTGCAAGACTTCTACGTCGTAATTTAACCCACTGACGGTGCAGTTTATCTCTTGGCTAGGTGACGCGACGCGCAACGTGTTACACGCGCTATCGCCATTATTTCCTTAATTAGCACATGATTACGTTTTAACGTCCTTCTGTCCAAATTGCTCTTGTGCGACCTATTTCTCCCGAAATGGCGAGTGTCTGCTGTATTTTTGTTGCCCCGCTCTTTTTGCGCGAGCGAAATTTTGCCTCGTCGCAGTGTGCAAATGTAAATGCAAGAGTGCGCTCGATAGTATAAACTCGCGCTTTTATCCAATTTTACGTTATTCAGATTTAGGAAATAAGTATATATTTTTATTCCAACTCTCTAAAATACGCCCTAATGTAAACAATAATACGGGCTTTTGAGGACTGCCAAGCTAGAAACACACAATACACGCTTCTTCGGATAAAACCAGAATCACACGATGCACTATTTCATGCCTTCTTACATGCATGCTGTTCAATTCAGTTCACTGCGCAAATCGTTATCGTGCATTGGAAGATCTATGCAGTGAACTGAGCTGTCAGCCAGCATACATATCAAAAGGCATGAAATCGTGCATCGTGTGTTTCTGAAGGATCCTATTGACGGGCGTTCCGTTAAAGAGATGCTGAAATGGATAACGAACTCGAAAAATGTCGATAACGTACAGGTTGTCGTCACTAACACGATCATATTATACTTTTCGCATTTTTTGTATGTATAAATCTTATATAAATATGTGCTGCTTTGTTTTATTATACTATCAGGAAACTACGCATATATCGAAATCTTTTGTATACGGTACGTACGAGCTGCAGAATGTTTGTATTAAGTAAAAATTTATGCTAATTAACAGTTCGATATGTTAATTTCAAAACTTTTGCTCGTTCTTGTTACATATTGAGTAACGTCCCAATTCATTATTGCACGTACTTTCAGTGTGTGAGAGCATTTGTAATTCTGCGCTACCAATACGCCGTAAACTTTACAGAGAAAAGTCAGTATTTCATCGGTAATGTATTCAAGTATGGCGTCCCCTTAAACATTCAGTAATTTTAAATTTAGCATCGCGATACATAACGGTGGCGGATGCAATGTGGCAACGGCGATAATGGCACATTGCGCGATAAACGCGCGGAACAATCGCGCTTTTCGACCTCGCGCATAACTTAACTGCAAGTAGCAAACATGTAACGCGCACGGCTACAAATCTCGCGCGGCGCGTGTTCACATCTGTACAATTTCATTCTAAGTTCGGCGACACACCGTAATTCAGCCGACGGGCACTAAAGTTTGTCATCCGATGTACCAGTCGCCATCGGCGTTATTCATTCAATTATCGCGCGATTAAGCGCGACTCTACCGTCGACACTTTGTGTGTGTGTCTCTCTCTCTCTCCCTCTCTCCGTGCAAAAAGTACGACCGTGTTTCTCGGGAACGTGTCGGAAACCAGACATCGTGTCGAAAACGGGCAGTACGAAAATTAAAAATAAGCGGAGTAACGCGCGTAACAAATTTTCTCACGCTCGTGCAAATTTTCCACATTCAGGTGGCGTGCGGATGCAACGCGGTGCAATTCGGTGCACTCATATCTCACGGGATATACGCGTGCATCTCCGCGCAGCGCGGAAAATGTTGCGCGGGGCCGCCGACGTCGACGCCGTTATAGTCAACGTCGCTTTTTATGTTCCCAGGATTTTGTTACGGGTCTGAGTATACTGTCTCGCGGCTCGATAGACGAGAAACTGCGCTGGACGTTTTCTCTTTACGACATCAACGGGGACGGCTGTATCACGAGGGAGGAGATGACCGACATCGTGACTGCCGTGTACGAGCTGATGGGAAAATTCGCTGATCCAAACCTGGACCACGAGGGCGTGCGCGAGAAGGTGGATCGAATGTTTCAGGTGAGAACACGAAAAACGGATCTTTCTACCGTAAGAAAAGCAACAAATTTTTGTTAAATGTGTATTTTTGTTAAATATGATGAGTGTTAATTAGTTGAATATACAGGTACTGAATTCAAGTGTCCAAGCGCGCTCATGCACGAATAGAACTCGTTAAAGTAGAAAAATACTCGTTAGAGTAGAAAAATTTTTTACTAATTTGTAAACTATTATAGTATTTACCAAACAAATTTGATGAAAGGCATTCGACCAATCAATGCGCGCGATGCGGTGGGACGAGCTCTGCAAGCAGCTCTGCAACGTTTACAAATGGAATTATTAACGTATATCTATTTGCGCTCTCAATCTGTGAACAATGTTGGGTATTAATTGATTGAAATTTGATTAAAATAATCTTTGATTAAAATAATCAACTAATCGATAATCGAGATTAATCAGTCTTCATATGTAAAATCGCAAATCCATCGATTGATGAAATTAAGTATTAATCAAATTTTGATATAATCAATTATACACTGATAAATACACTTGTTTGTTTAGTACGCGTTTTCCCGTATGCGTCTATGACGCTCTTTCATCGCTCCTTTGGAAGAATCGAGTATTGTGATCGATTAAAGCGCGGAAAACATGTCTATTTTAACAGTGACGAGATTAATATCGTTACTATGGATCGAGCTGATAGTCGTGATTATTTACAAAATGTTAGATGATTTTTTTATTCAGTTTAACGAGTTTTCCTGCACACGAATGCTTAGACAATTAAATCAAAATATTGTGTACATTAGGAGTAGATTGCGGAATATCTGAATCTTTTTCGAAAATTACACCGCTTCTTTTAAGAATAAAACGCCGCGAACAGTTTATTAAAGGAAACACTATCGAGTCGAAAATGTTAATTGATTTAGCGACTCGGGGGCAAGCACGACAAAGAAATAAATGAATTTTGTACATCCACGAAGTGCGCGATGCTTGTCAATAATTCGTTCACTCCGAGGAAAAGAAACAAGTGTCTGCGGAGAGTACATTCGCGAGACAGGAACGAGCCTTTCTTTTTAGCAGCTGTCACATTGTTAGCTGCGGATGACAATGCCCGCAGTGTGCTCGTTCTCTTCACCTATCTGCACTGCCAGCGGCGAAAAAAGGAGCAAACCGCTTTACAGAGACAATTTGCGCAGATGACGTGTCTTCTATCTGCTCGATACAGGCGCCGCGCGCTTCGTCAGCCCTGTGACGGCTGCAGTTCAAAGAGTTAGAGTTTTTAAAGTACACACGAACTTGACAATCGAATCGTGCGTCAAGTCGACGCAGACACCTACACGGAATAGCTGTCGCAATACTTGGATGAAATATTTGCCCAGAGCGAGTGAGATATCGCAAGTGAAAGTTTCATTATCATTATCAAGAGACAATTCCTCGTCTCCCGCTCGATAAATTTCTATCTCTGGATTTTACCGGACAGAATATCTACGGGCTCGTCCACAATATGGGAAGAGTAAGCTTGACGTGAGTCGAAGTTAAGAAATAAAAAGAAAGGAACCGTGGAGTATAGGCGTAAGTGAGATGAATTATTTGTGCAACTTACGTCAAGCTTACTCGGCGCATTGTAGACGACGCGCTTAGTATTACACGCTGAAATTCTATGAGATAAATTCCGAAAGCCAGTGTTTTATGTGAAAGCAAGGCTTCGGGAAAGAGCGATAACGCGAACGCGCGTAGTCTCTCGCATCACTTCACTCGGACGCTGCAGAGAGAAAGAACGGGAGATGCGTGCTCGCCATCGCATGCACTTTCGACAAATGCTCTTTTGCATGAGCCGACGTTCATCGCGGAGAATACCGACCAAGTTTTCGACTGAAAGCTCGATTTGTAATCTATTATTACCGGCGGGCTCGTTAAGCTGCCACTGGATTCTCCTCCGTTAGATTCTCATCTTCGATTCTGTGTAGCCATGTGAATCCAGTGACGCGCTTTCTGTGTCTTCGCCGACGTCGCAAGGAAACGCAAATTTCAACGGTAAAGGCAACGCGTTTAGAAAGGGTAAATGCCTTGTTTAAAGGTGCCGCTTTTGAAGCATGCACGCCGATATACATGTGGTTGCGTCGGTGGCTCGCGAGAATTCAAGGGAGCAGAGAGAGTAGAGAGAGAGAGAGAGAGAGAAAGGATGAGAGAGAGATGAGATTAGTACAACACGAAGCTTCAACTCGCAGCCACAGTATATGTACGTGCACCTTACGGTTTATATATATACTCAGATAGTTTAAATTCTAATTGCCTGTGGTTTCAATTCCTCAAAGACCCTAAGGGTTTCGCTCAAGGAACCATGCTTGTTCGTCTAACTTGCTGCCGTCAGCGCTACGCAACATACGTTATACCATAAATACGGCACTTAAGTTTTAATTACAGTCTGTTCCTTTTACCTCTAGAGCTCTTGAAAAGATTAATTAATGCCTTATTCTTATTCGCGGGGTAGCCGGAAAACGTTTACTCTACATTAGCAGATTACCCCGAGAGAAGAGGGGAAGACATCTTGTGATTAAACCGTGTAATTGACGATGTAAGAGCGGAGAATGTAAGATTCCCCCATGTATCTAACCCGACCAGAAGCGAAATTGCGCAAACGAAAATCTCTCGAAAGATCTCTCGAGGAAAGAAGAAGATTCGTTTATTTTGCACGTGTTCTTCGCGAAAAGAGAAGTTTGTCACGTATACAGTTGCCATCACTGTGTCTATTCTCTGACAAGAGACCCAACCTATCATTGCTTTGAAACACACGGAAAAATATAATAAAAGAAATAAAAAGAAATAACGAAAAATTTGAAGATTAATATAATTAAAGAATAAGATATCTTATTTTTAAATTTTAGCAATAAAAACATTTACATTTCAAAAAGTACTTTATCGATTCTGATAGAGAAAATTATAAAAGCGATTACTGATAGGTTGCGGTATTTTTGTAAGTACGGATTAACCAAACATAATTGACTTGGACAAAATTCTGGTAACTTCAGGCGGAATTTTTGAATCGTTCATATTTCATCTGAAATTTTATAGAACCTTTCCTCCATGTTCTCATTCAGTCATAATTTTTTCCAACAATATAAGGATGTGACGTTGCCGCAACCCGCGAGACTAGTCGAATCGATACAGTCTGTCGTTATTAAACTTCTAGACACAGTTCGATAATAGTAGTGCAAACTATCGGTGGTCGTTCGCCATCCAATTAAATGTTACTCCCAAGTGCTCGCCGGCGCTACTCCGCAGCCGGGCCTTTGATTCGCGCGATGTGTAATTCATCGAGACACGAGCTATCAATTCTGCGCTTCGCCGTAAAGCGAAGCGGCCATGTGAACTACCGGAATTTCTATACGGATGTTACTTGCTACCACAGTTGAACTTTAGCGTCGTGATATCAATACCGCCTGCTACGTGAATGATCCGCGCGCAATATCGCACTATTTGCCAAATCGTCACGCCGCGGCGCGTGCAGAGAATATCAACGGTAATATCGTTACACCGCACTCGCGATGATCAGCTATAAACACCGCTAATTCGAATGCGACCTCCGTTAATACGCACCGAGCGGATAAATCGCGAATAAATCAAACTGAAGGTAAATCGCGGCATGCCGCGCGCGTGGAATTTCGCAGATTGTGCTCCAGCCGCTCAATGCTCTGTTTTGCCGAAAGCTATCGCGCGGTCTACTTAGTCTTTCGGGGAAACGTCTTAGGCATCCTCCTTTTGCGGACATTAGCGTTCGGACACGAAGATGAATCGATCTGACGATCGAGACTCTGACGTGCAAAAACCGCGAAGAAAAATGTGGCGCGAGACAAAATGGATTCTCCGACGGTCTCGCGACCACCGTATGAATATTTTGAAGCTGGCGTGATTAAGGACGAATAAAGGCCTAAGAAAAAATAATACAACAAATAAAATCAGGACGTAAAAATGAGGCGGCGCGTGACAACAATAGAGGACAATGCGTCGCATACAAATAGCGAACCAGAAGGAGAAGACGTGGAATGAGAAAAGTTCTATTTCGCCATTACACGCGATGTTTACGCGCGCAGCATTTTCAATTCGCGACGAGCGCGGCGATGGGAATTGCGGGCGAAATTTGACAAAGAATCCGCAATACGTCCTCTCGACGTAGCAGACGGAGGAACAAACACACAGACGGTGGTAATATGACATATTTACCGTGGCTTCAACTGCACCAACTTCGAGCTTTTCTTGATGATCGAAGTTGCGCGATGTAATATCACGGCTGTATAATTCACACTCGCCAATTTATCTACTCCAATTTATCAGAAGTTACTGTTATCTTCCTCGCCCACCTGCCTTGTTGCATCATGAAGAATATCGACTAATTTCAACTCTCGACATTATCATCGACGTTCATCCGCTGCGCTTTAACTCTCGCTCGGTATCTATCCTCTTTAAAATTCTTCTCCCTTGCCGTTTTCTCTTCTTTCCCTCCCCCGCGTGATTTTGTTTACCGTGCACTTATCTATCATCGATGACGCAGCACGGCGTCGATCAAGCCGCTAAAGCAAAGGAACAAGTGCGCATTAATCAAATGGCTTTTCGTAATTACGTTTAATAACATAGCTGCTTCCTCTAATTACGCGGCGAATTGTGCGAGCCATTCTCGTCATCGTATGATGATCTAATGAGAGCGCTGAAATTGACAGCATACCGTATATATTTCGTACGCGTGTACGTATATAATAAATAATTACACAACATCCCCTTAATGTTCAATAGCATTCTGTGTGTCACTACGGATTAGCCTGCTATCATTTATATTCAAAGACTATAACATTGAGAAATTTACACAAAAAATGCATTACGCAGTTTCTTAACGCTGTAAGATGTATGGTAACTTAAAGGTCGTCTTTGCAGATATTTGTTTGTACAATATAGCCGTTAACGAACTCCCCATAATTTCACAGGACAGAATAATTAATAAACTTCCGGTATAATAAGTAAAACGTGCAGAATATCCAGGTTTCTGTCATTTTTTTTGACCACCCAACTTCGTGAGGTCCTTTCAGGATGACGATAAAGCTACTATTAAAGCTAACCCGGAGCCCCATGAATGCGAACCGCGGATGAAAAATGGACCGGTGGACACTTTATAAACTCCTAACCGCGGTACAATAGCTTTGAAAGCTTACCAAAATCCTCAATGCGCTCGTAGAAAAGCGATGAAAGAATGGCGCCCGTTCTTTTCCTTGTTTTGCATCGAATTCCATCAATATTCTTCTTACATCGTTCCTTTTTTCGATCTAGCGGGCATAATCATATGCACAGTTGTCCAAAGAACACAGCAAGTTTACGCATTCCTCTGTTTATGCAAAGTGCTTTACACCGTTAAAAGGATGCCAAAGTGGATGACGAACTCGAAAAATGTCGATAATGTAGAAAGTAAAAACGACATGTCGTCAAAACAACACGCTAGATAAGCACCAACACGATTACGCTCCAGAACAAATATTTTTATTTTCTATTAGTTGCACCATTTTTTATTAGTTGCGTCTTTTTTATTCATTTTTAAGAATTAAGTTTGTCAATAAAATACCCCTAAAGAGAAGAAAATTGACCACGCTTGACTTCGTGAACGATTGCAGAGAACCTCAATGCTATCTGTGCTTATTAAACCATGCACCAAATTTTCATCTTCATTTTCTTCGAAACGTACTCCATGTAGATCGGATCATGTTTGTGTAACTACGGCCAATTGCTCTCTGTTATCTGCGCGCGTGTGTTCTATATGAAAGTTCATCGCTCACATTGCTGAACAAGTAACAAAATAGCAATTACGAATTAACATCGATTTTTCGCAGCACTCCCTCGCGACGCATGAACGCCTTTGTTTCGATCAAATACTAATTAATCACGAGAAAAGCAGAGGTAACCAGCGTCGGCATACCTGCGTTATTCGTAGCACTAATTAAAAACGAGCTTTGTTCGAGTTCCGTTCGCCCCAGATCACGATTAAATCCGTCCCCATTGTTTCTGGAAACTGCGCGCCAAGCTCGCCGACACTTTTCATTCCGAAGAAATGAGTCGCCATGCCGATTTTTGGCGATACGATCAAATCGTTTCCGCGTTACGTCACGCGCGAACAGCGGAACGAGATATGGAAAATAATGGAAAACGCAAGATACATGATACACCGTGGAATCCGCGGGCTTGTAATCACGGAGATACTTAATTAAAATCCGAAAAATTGCAAGCGAAATGTGTGTAGTGCAGTTAGTAAATAATCAGTCGAGAAAGCAGCGACTCGCGTCAAAGGGGAGAATCACCCCTGAAACATACTCTCTTAAAGTGAATCAGTGGAACATTACTGAAAGCAGTAAATATACACTGATTTGCTGCTATAAGTATAGCACTGAAACTGCTCAGTACTATACTTATAACTGATATCAGTGACTATTCACTGATTCACTTTAAGAGAGTAATTCGGCAGATTCCTCGTAAGCGATATCATTATACAACAGTAATTTCCCTTCGAAACGGAAGGTGGATTAAGACTTGATCTACGCGCGACATAAAATTCCATTATTGTTGACTCTCACAAAATCCTGCACGCATTCCTGGGGTGTGATGATTTCCGACTACATAATTACAAGACTATAATAATGCAGCGCAGCTTGTAGTGAGCTGTGATACCAATTAATCCCATCCAACGGTACACGACAACGAACCCCGCCTACGGGGGGCGGGAGTTTGCACACCGACAACTGGCTTTGTGTTTCGTATACGGTATAGCCTGTAATAATTTTACTATTCGCACCTGGCGATGGCCGATTTACCATCGTGCAATCTGGATTTCCGTACACGCGCCCAACACGACGCGGAACGCCGTGCCGCACCTCGTCTCGCCTTTCGCTCGTGTTTATTCCGTAAATTAGCTCGATCCGCCGGATTGTCATGAATCGCAGATAATTAACGCCCGATAATAGCCGTTCTTCTCTATCCCAGTATAGGTCTATCCCGAATATAGCGCTGTCGATCGAGCTATATATTTACGAGCGTATATTTCTTCGTACAATATTGTGTATAATGACGGTGGAAAAATAAGGAGAATTTTCTTTCTCTTTTTTTTTTTTAATAAAAGAGTCTCTGTCGATTATTGTCAGAAGCGAACGAGAGAAATAATATTCAGTCGAGGAATTTCGCAAGAATGATTTGCCGTCGGGGAGAAACGCGAGATATCACGATAAACTATATATTACAGCCAAGGTGCGACACGTTGGAGGCAGATAGATCGATGGTGAGACACCCAATAGCCGGTCCGTCCGTGGCTGACCAGTTCTACTTTAAGTAACGCATACATGTGCATAGACGTGTACCGTCGTATAAACGCGGAAGTGTGCGAGCGTCTGCAGGTTTTTGCTCGTAGAACACCGTCTTGGGATGTACGTCAGCGCTCTTCCAATCTGGGTCAGCGTGGTGCTTGTTTTTTTCTCCGTGCGCTTAAGCTTCATAGTAATTCCATTCATTCGTAGTTCATTCAATCATGTTAAAGTTACGAGATATGAGGTTCCGCGTATCCGCGAGCAGCCGTAACGTGAAACAAAGAGAGATTTACGGAGCGGATTTTAACGGTGTGTACTTTCCTATGGAAAGTTTATATAATACCATTATAGAGAGAGAGAGAGAGAGAGAGAGAGAGAGAGAGAGAGAGAGAGAGAGAGCACTCTACATAATACCGACTTTTTAAAGTAATACAATGCTCTATTATGGTTCATGGGGATATAAAAGCAGTTTACGGTTTATAGTTGCGTTACAATGCAGCGCGGAGTTCGCGTTATTATTCTTCTTAAACGTTGTAGATATTTTGCATCGTGTCGCGGCGCAGAGACAACCAATCATCATGTCTTTCTCAGGAAGGGACTGGAAACAATATAGGCTACGCGAGATATGCTTGTATCGATCGCACATGCGTTCAACGTAGAATTACTTGATCTATAAGTGAAATTTCTTTAATAAATTTCTTGATCTATAAAGAAACTTTTTTTATAAATTAAATCTCAACAACGCGGGCTCGCTGCATGACGGAACTATTATCGTCGTTTGAATCTTTAATATGTAACAAATGCAGCGCAAAGGGAGCTTTTAAACAAATGGATTTTACTTGTTCCAGAAAATGGATGGCAACAGGGACGGCGTGGTAACGCTGTCCGAGTTTCTGGAGGCTTGTCGAGCAGATCCCGACATCTCGACTAGCATGGCAGCTCTGGACACTGCCTTCTGACACTCATCGCACCCGCGATACTCACCGTGGACCTGAAGGGATCACTCGATTAGAAAGAAAAGAAAAATACAAATCGCTCAATGTTGTACCTTAACTCCCTGGACCAGAGGAGGGGAACTCCTCAAGGGTGTGTCCCGTCGTCCTGGAATAGCCGATACGCGATTTCTCAGAGTCGATTGCCTCGAGAGACGACGCCGCGTCGCTTTGCGCGTACTAGCTCAACAAAACGTACTCAGTGGAATTTCTAGATTCGCGAGAAAGAAGCTATTTAAGAAGAAGAGCAAGAGGAGGAACAAGGAACAAACGGGATAATATTGAGCTTGAGATTTCTGCGACTTATAGATGTAGGTAAAGGGGGTAACGGAAATTATTGTTTTGCGACAGCGATGCAAATTTCAGCGAATGTTGAATTGGGTGTTAGTTCAGAATTGTGTTTGTACAATCTCGTAGGCATTCACGCGAGGAGATAAGCGGAGAAGCGGACTGTGACAGCGAAGTAATAAGCATGTAGCAACGATGATAAGATAATTTTGGTGTTTCGTTTGTGTGAAGAGTCGACATTCACTGACAGTTCCAGTTGGATCGATACGGATACGATCGCGAGCTATTCTGATTGCTTTACAGTCGCCATAAGAAGCCGACGCCTTAATATATTTCACGTGTGTGTTCGCGCATTTAGAACAAAGATTTTTCTTCCTATATCCAAAAATATGTTTAATTAGTGGTCTTGCAAAAACTTTGCAAGAGGATCTATTCAAACTCGTACTTCTACTCATGGTTAATTAAATGTTTGCACTCGATATCGTTCAGACAAAAGGCTGCTTTCCGAGATATATGCCCGAATACATCGAAATGCACCAAATGGCTATTTCGGTCTCGATAGCCACGGAATAACCACCGAAATAATTGACGATTATCAGAAAGGCTGACAGAGTCGTATCCATGTCGATCTGCGTTCGGTGAATTACTTTCAATGAATGTCGATTCTTCAAATTCAAAGAGAAAAAAAAGTGTAATGTCAATACTCACGAGCTCGGATTAAACTTTTTTTGTCAAGTCATCGCACTGCTTGAACGTTTTTTTTGTTTTCTTTTGAGAATTTTAAACGAAAGACACGCGTAATCGATTGTTCATCGGCACCGGCTAAAAGCTGCGTTTTAGTCGATATTTTTCGAGACATAACGGAAAAATCACAATTCGCAATTTCGGTCGTGTTTTGCGGCGACCACAGGGCGTATGAATAGTCATAGTACACGTACAATTTGTTATGACAGCGTGCGAGTTCGCGCACGTATTGAACTGCAACATATTGAACCTGCAAGGGACAAGGGTTAAAACGTGAGAACGAGCGTCAACTCACAGATGAGACATACAAAGTTTATCGTGAATCCCGTCGCACAGCTGGACGTGTCAAGCGGGATTTGTTGTTTGTAGTGCATAAGCGTGTAGGTGGTAAGCGATATCAAAATATTTATTTTTGTGACGGGTAAGCGTATTATCGTTGTAAGTTTCTAGATTGTAAAGACTGCGTGCTGCTAAAGAGAGAGGGAGGGAGAGAGAGAGAGAGAGAGAGAGAGAGTCGAATCGAATAGAGGAGAGAAATGATAAAAGATGAGAGAAATATTCGGAGAAAAAAGAGGAAGGGAGCTTCTCTCTATCGATCCGGGATTCGAGTGATCTGTTGCCGAATATAATGTGTAAAAACGCGGAGAGTGTATGTTTTATTGTAAAATCATCCAACGACTCGTGGAGACTGGACCAAAGCTTCCGCGATAGGCGAAGAAGATTTACTTGAGCGAAATATATATTTAATCATTTTCCATCACTGCCTACTTCCGGTTAACTATAAATAAGGAAGAATATAGGGAACGAGATCGGTCGAGACCGATCGACGTTGGAATTGGGAAGCTACAAGGACGAGGATTCGTTTATTTAGATACGAATTTCAAGTATCCTTCCGTTTCACGTGCGTTTCTTGTAATATACACTCGAGATGTAGCGGGTCGCGGACTAATATTCAAATATTCCTCCGAACTTAGAGGGTAAACGGCGGCTAACTCTTTTCAAGAGCAAAGCTGACAAACGGCAACTCCACCCCGGACACGTGATACGTCGTCGAACGTACTGGAGGGATGGTAGAAGCGAACGCATTATAATAAGAGTCAGCGAAGCATACGGAGGAGCTAGATCGCGCACGATGTGTGTGTATGTGTGTATGTGTGAATTAACAAGCGTAAAGATTTCTTCGATTTTTAGCAGCGCCTACACTTAGAGCGTAAGACTTACGTATAAATTGAGATAAACATCGAATGTTGTCTCATATCAACTCGATCACTACCGCATGTCTTTGAAATTACGTAAGTAAATGTATAAAAAAAAAAGACAAAAAACGGGGTAACTGTGTCGTCTAGATATTTTCGAACTGGACCCGGATAATTAGTATTAGATGTGACAAAGGGAAAGGAAGAACAGAGTACTCTTACCCCCATCTCCCACCCTAACGACGTTAGTCGGATCAATAAGCTAAGTTTGATACGTTGTCAGCTTTTTATGCGCTACGATATTAGTTTTAGACTGAAGTTATTATCTGTTAACGCGGGAAGACTAGACTGACGGTAACATTGAGAGTAGTCGAAGTGTCGCAAAGTTCGCAAGGTTCGTAAAACGAGAGCACGCGGGACAATGATTGATGAGCATTCCGTTATGCCTTAACACACCGCGTGTGCTGAATCCGTGTCCTATCTCTTACTGTTAACTATACCCTCTTAACTATACCGACGTACATATTTGCTGTTGCATGCTCTCCTACTCTAAAAAAGGATGCAAAGAGAGAAAAACTATTCCGTGCTCACTTTTACAGCCTCGCGTACTTCTCGCGATTGTTGCCGAGAAACGCAAAATTGTTCGACCTCTCTGTTTTGCGCAGTTAAACGGTCGGGCTGCATGTTACTTTCTTTCGCGAACATCGAGTTAGCTAGAGGAAATCTCGTAAGATCTCAGTAACGTAAGTTCGATTTGTATCGAAGCGAGGGCGCGATTCTATTTTCAATCTCGTCACGCGCCGTCAACGACGCGTACTGAGAGTCGTCTGAAGAGTTAGGAGTGCATTACATTTGTACGTGAGATTATCAATTTTCCATTGTAATTACTACGAGCAAGAGAGAGAGAGAGAGAGAGAGAGTAATACGCAGTGCAACAGCGAATGATTTCAAGCGGTGTCAGCTTCCATTTAACTTCGCAATTATTATGCTGTATTACGAACTACGATCGTACTGCTTCGTTTAGTACGACTGATAGTTTCACATTATTGGACAATAAAAACGTCTCATTGTAACGCGACCAGAACGCTAGGCAAGGACATATAACGATAGTGTCGTTTACATTAAAAACACAATATTAGGATAGCATTTCCTCGTTTCTCAGGATGTACTCGAAACATGGCTGCCTGAAAGTAACCCAATCATCATATTCTGAATGCATAATCAGCGATTCTTCGAAATTAGGCATTAACATTTATTTATGCCCAACGTTAGAATGTTACCAGAACGGCGAAGTGGACATTGATTCTCGATAGGACTCACAAATAGACGCTGGTCGATATTTCTCACGAACTGCGAATTTAACTCGAAAACACAATGCTGGCTTCTACTGTAACTTTCATTATGTTCTCTTAATACGATGTGGCAGCTATTTCGTATTTCGCGCAGCTATAGATACTACAACGTAATAACGGACCTCCGTCGTCCAACTTCCTGCGGACATTTCCACGTATTGGAAACGTGGCGTACTAAATGTATATTTATCGACGTTAATCTCGTACTAATCTCGGACGCGAGCTTTCATTAAGTCACGATGAATTGTAAGTTACGTCCGATAATTTGAACTCTAGGAAGGCCACAGCCGCATATTCTTACCGCGATAGCTAACCGACTGAAAATACTTCCTCGTGCGTTCCTTGCACGTCTGATGCGTTTGCACGTTTCACTCACAATGTGGAGGAGAATTCGGACGGAGGAGGATAAATCAATTTCACTCTGAGAGCAAATCGGCATTTGCTGTCTGTCGAGCTATCTCTCGCTATCTCTCGCAATTCAGAAATTCTGCACAACTCAACGCGGTCATTACGTATGTAATCGGCAGACTTTCGGTTGCATCGTTCTACAAGTTTACGTCGTGCGATTTGCAACGAGAAAAAGATTCTGGAAAAGAAAAAAACGATACGCAAAACAATTTGATCGACACTTCAACATGCGAATATCGTTCGCGCTGTAGCTAATCTAGCTACACGAGGCTACAACGCCACGAGTACTACTATCTTGACCCTTTTAACGTAGAGATACTATACTCGAATAGAATTCAAGAATCTATCTATCAAAACCTATCTCTTCTCTATAGATAGTTGAGTCTTCGCCGAGGATTACTTACGGCGGTATCTATTATAGACATTATAGCTACTGGACAGAGGAAATATACAATGCGACGTGGTGAAAGTGACGCGAAATCGCTTATCGATGGTAATGAACCAAGGCAAAGGAGAGGTGGCATACGCGGTTCACGAGCTGTTGGAAGCTGTATTTAGGAAGAGTTATTTATTAGGTAGAAAACTCGAGAGAGATATCGTGGTCGGGCTGTACGCATATTAGCTGACAGATGGTCCAATCATAGGCTACATATTCATAAGGGGAAAATAAAACGAGAACTTAATGGAATAGCCTAACTGTGTCACGCGAGGCATGAGAAACGGCGTGCGATGAATTATATGTATAAAGTACACGTATAAAGTATGTGTGCCCGACGAAGCGCATAGTCGCATTTACGTAGTCGTGTAAAATTACAAAAGCAAACTTTCGATTATCTGGTTGAGCGTCAATCCGCAGCAACTAATGTAAAGCGTACCTAAACTGGTTGGAATTAACGTTAAAACAATCACGCATTGTTCGGATATCTCCTGGACTTTTATGTTGTTTAGGCTACAAATAGACAGCTCTTTCAGGTTATTACATCGACGAAAGAAAAGTTATCTCCGACAAAATCGTCAATGAACGAGTAAACGGGTGGGCAGTAATATCAGCTTTTTACGATTTATTGCACCCTACGGAAATACTGGATTTTCATGATGTACCATAAAATAGGGTAACTTCGGATGTGTCCGAGGTCATTCACATTGAACGCTTATTGCACGTCAGGGTTGTACGCGTCACAATAAAACGCTGCGCTAATATGTGTCACGCGGTTCCTCAAGCATCGTGCGTTGAACACGACAAAGTTTAATGCGGAGAATACTATATGATGTTAAAAATATGGAGGATTTTAAAAACAGATTAAAAGACAACAAGTAAGAAAATATTCATATATATATTTTCAGTGTAAATCAAGTATGTGTATATATACTTGTGGTAAGACTACGTATCTCATAGCTTTAACGGCTCGCCGACGCCCAGGTGGAAGCAATCTTCTTTGGTAGCGATATCGGAGTTGCGTATATATCACGATCAACGACGCGTACGACGTCTCGCGACGAAGGAAAACTGCGTAGCCGGTAATTCAATGTGTTCTGTTAACAAAGACGGTGTGTTTCCACTCGTGGAAGAGCGCATTAAGGAGTAATCGTTTGGATGTTGATTGTTAAATGTTAGGATAGCTGGATACGACGTTATGTCCTTACAAAACCCGAGCTACATGTTAAGAATCCTCCCTTCGTTACATACGGCTTGCTGCATCTTTTTTCGATTCATCGTTTCGTTTATTTTCGACTTTACTAACTTTGATAATTACTAACACAGTGTCGTTATTCTTTTGGATTTATGTTCATTTATCCACGCGTGTGTCCATTTGTTGCGTGTACTTCGATTCAGTATGATTTTTACGCGCGCAGGTATCGAAAAGGAAAACAGGAAAAAGAACAAACGTGAAATGTTTAGCTTACAGCAACGCAGTCTGCACTGCCGTCGCTTTCTCGCAACGAAAATCGCTTCTCGTTTCGAACGTTTCGTCCCGAATAATGTGGTCGTTCAAATAAAAAAAAATTATATATATATATTATTCAAGATTAATTTAAAAAACAAAAAGAAGAAAACATTCGATGCACATTAAACGGTTTGCGCATCACAACGAATCCTATGTTTAAGAAAATGCTATATTCCGCGTCACATTTAGTTACATTGAAACCTAGTTATCATAGTTATTTTGTTACAATTATTATCGATTATTTATTGTACTATACCTGGAAGTATGTAACTATTTTATAAATAAATAGATAACCAATGTACGTTATTTGTTTCATTGTTACTTCAATTGTGACCTGAAGGCATTCAACAAAACGTTTCCATTAAGATATAAAGTGGTAAAACAGATAAACAAACTTTGATGAAAAAATGCTCTTAAATAATACTAAAAATATCGAAAAATCGATTCATACAAAAAAATTATACAAAAAAGTTAGTATGCCTGCAAATTACATATTTGAAAACTACTAGCAAAATACTTATTTTTCTGCAAAGTTTTCTGTAAAATTTTCAACAAGTATAGCATTCCCTTAAAGAAATATAATTTTTTAATCAAAATCCACATTTACTCCGAAATTGATTGTTTCGTCCTTATTAAAGAATAGTAAGAACAGCATTTCTAGACGATATAATTAAATAAAAAAAAAAAACACCTGAAAATGTCAACACAAAATAAAGCATCATTTTATTTAGATTACTAACACCGATACAATATATCTGATGCAGCTTAATGCTATCTTGAATATCTGATACAGCTTAATGCTATCGCTTAACATAATTTCTTTGAATACTTAACAAATTCTAATGATACTTCAAGGTCACATGAGATGCTGTTGTCACTTTTCGTATAAACTGGTTATATGTAGAAATTGCTGAATTTTGTGCAATACACAGAAATTTGTAGACAAAAGAGGCCAAGAAACATCAACCGTAAAGTTGATATGTAAAAACATTGTCTAAAACTTTTTGAACAATTCTTACTATAAGATTTCTTTAGTTCTTAACTGAGTTAATCAGACCTTCATCAGTCATTCATCAAGCTCCTTTGTCATTTTTTCCATTAACTCCTTAGCTATATAATCCCAATACCGCCTCCGTATTTTATCATACTTTGTTGACAATTGTTTACATAACTGAAACATAAATATATACATCAAGTGTTGCTTAAATTAAATACTATAAAATAAAAAACTAATATTTTTATTTACCTCATAAGTATTATTAACATGATATGGAGCAAATATATATTCCGTGGTATGGCATTCTTGAGAAATATCTATCATGCAAGCTAATAGATGATTAGTACGACATCCATGTTGATACATTTTAAAACATTTAAGTCGTACTTTCTGATTGTAACCCAAACCACTACAATCGTGTAATAATATTCTAAAAAAGCACAATTTGACATTTTATATATGCATATATATGTATATATACATACAAAAGAAAATATATGTCCAAATAACTTTTCCCTTTTCAAAAATTCAATTTTTATAGATGAAATATAATTACCCTCTCAAATAATTCCAAGCACTCTCATTTCCACTTGCCAATTCTATCTTCTCTAGTGCAAAGTCAATCTCTCTATCAACCACTTCTTGCTCGAACTTACTCGTATTACTTATCACAAAGTAACGTTGATTCCAGGCAGAATTATTGCGAACATCATTCTTCAGCAATTGTTCTACGTATTCCAATTCTTTGTCATATAAACTACATGCATAATTACATATTTTTTAATATATATATCAACAGTAAGAATAAATTTACCAAAATCCTTTGAACAAGGATATACTAACTTAAATGTTTGTATACACCACTGACGATGCTGCCAAGCATGGTAATTTTTTGCATCTTTACATAAAATAGTTTCTGTAAATGCTAATTCTTCACTAGGATCTTGCAGCCACTCAACAATAACCTTTCTGTGGTGCCATACTTGATAATTTTTAGAATTGTACTTTATCATTTTGTCTGTATATTTTAATTCATCGTGCAAATCTCTTCCCAGAGCTTGAAGTATCTCTCTTCTGTATTGCCATACAGTATAATTTGCTGGATTAAGCCATGTACAGTCTTCCGTTAAAGCCAATGCACGTTCTGACTTTTCACTTGACTTAAGAATGGCACGGAAATAATCATAGGCATCTTTAACTGAAAACTCATAACATATTAACGAGATAAGAAAACACATTACGTCAGTAAAGCTGCAGTTCATTGAAATATAATCCATCGTAAATATGCTTGCAAAGCATAAAAAATATAAGAGAGTGACCTCGAATATAGTGTATAGAACAAAATTTCACTGAATAATGATATAACAGTTGAGATATGCTTACACTTTTCGGAATATGCGATTGCTACAATAGGATGTGGACCGTCATCCTGAGGTAGAGGAGTCACGTCACTCCACTCATCGCGATTTCTGTACAAAATCCATGGCGTTTCTTCAACACCATCGGCACAGTTCAACTCGTCTTCGGAATTATCCGACATATTCTATTATGATATAATATCGTAAAAAAAACAAAATGCACAAGTTGTTCCCCTTACTAAACTTTATCACTTTTATTATTCGTGCCAAGAGTAGGACTGCCAAGTTCTAGTAGCATCAATCCAGAGAAAAGCCTGAGAGCGGCTATCAGCTTGATTTTGGTGATCAGAGCTAAGCGCATTTTCGAGACGCCATCTAACAAAGTGCGCCTTTACTATGTTTGTTAGGCCAGAGAGAAACCTGAGAGCGGCACCAGTGTTACCAGATGGTTGAAAAATTAGGCGGTAGATGGCATACCAAAAATTAGGCGGTAGATGGCATACCAAAAATTAGGCGGTAGATGGCATACCAGATGGCATACCAAAAAGCGGTAGATTTGAAATTTAAAGCGGTAGATCTTTTATTTCAGAAGTTTCGTAAGATATAAGACATAAAACTGATAGTTAATAAAAAACATATTCTAATTATAAATAAATATAATATAATATAATATAAATACCTAAAACAACTCAATAGTAAATAAAAGAAAAATTATACTTATAAAGTGTACTCATAGTTTTTTTTGTAATCTTTATTTAGTCTCACTAAATATCACAAATTTTGTATAAAACTGGTTAACAGAAAAAATATTCTAATTATAGTAAATATTACGAAAGCCAATGCGTCATAAATTATCTAAAATATCTTGTAAGATAATATACAACCAATAAATTGGTTTTGTGTAACACAGTGTACGCAATTGCAAAGCACCCATTGTACGGAAGTACAACGAGCACGAACCAGGCGCATGTTATGGCTCCTGTCCACAGGACGCGGCAACGCTTACGCGCGGCGGAAGTTCGCGCAATAGCCAATCAATATGTTGTTTTTGCGTGAAAGCTACAAGATTATTACGGAAAATAGCATATTGATTGGCTGTCGCACGAACTTCCGCCGCGCAGCAAACGTTGCCGCGTCCTGTGGGCAGTAGCCATTGGGTGCTTTCCAGTTGCGTACACGTGTTACACAAAACCAGTTTATTGGTTGCATATTATCTTACAAGATATTTTAGATATTTTAGATAATGTGACCAATAAACTGGTTTTGTGTACGTGTGTGTCAAGTATGTTAAGGGACGTCTACATTGGAAGTAAGCAGTAAGAAGTAGAAAGTAAGAATAAGAAATTGACCAATTATAGTTGATTATTCTTCTCACATTCGACTGTGGTTGGTCAATTTCTTACTCTTACTTCCTACTTCTTACTACTTACTTGCAATGTAGACGTCCCTTTAAGCAATTGAAAAGCACTCATTATTATTACAACCGCGAAAATGCGTCTAACAAACGTAGTAAAAGCGCACTTTGTTAGATGGTATCTCGAAAATGTGTCTAGCTCTGGTCATTGAAATCAGGCTGATGGCTGCTCTCATGCTTTTCTCTGCTAAAAGCATTAATCATCAAGTCGGAAGATCTAAGACGCCACCTTCCATCAATTTTAAAAACATAATGTCATATAGCGCCAAATTTGAGATATTTTTAAACGAAAATTAACTTAAAAACTTTAGTAACTCTATTTCGTATTGTCACACTAGAATACAACCAAGATTTATAGTAATAATCGATAAATATAAATTCGTAATATATAGTTATGTTTTTACTGACACTTTAGAAATATTAATTCTAACACAAAGCTCATGAAAAATCTCAATTTAAATTGATTAATAAATAATTAATTAGTAAATATTACGGTGTTATTAATTTTGCAGTAATTTCTGATAGTTTATATATTTTTCCAATTTGACTCACGCGAATCCTAACATTGTGAAAAATAAAGATATATGATTTAGTTAGCTCGACTAATGCAACCAAATCTAAGGTCTTGATTTTAAACTTTCTTTCCTTGATAAAAATGAGCTCAGAATTAAAGACTCAAATATACATTTTTTTCATTTTTCTGTTGAAAAAATTTTAATACAATATTAATACTTAATTCCATATATATAATACCCTATATAACAAATAACTAAAATTCCGTGTAGGTAATGGTTTACAAAAATCTTAATACAGAATTAACATTATAATTAATCTTATTTGTTAAAATTTAAGAGATTTATTGAGTAAATCAAAACAGAACAAAACAAAATAACATTCTTTTAGTCAAGGGTATTTAAATAAAAACGGTCAGTTATATTTTGTAATCTAATGTACTCTACAATAATCTTTTGTTTACAGAACGTGAACTTATTCTGTATAGAAACATTCGTCTCACTCTCTCTCTCATCCTTTCATTTTTATCTTCTCATCGTTCTCATTCATTCACTGGATATACTATCATAGCATTCTACAATAGCAGGATTATAACAATGGAACCGTTAACTATTATTGTATTGTTTTTTGGTACAAATCACTTTATATCGCTAATCATCATCGCAACTATAAGAGGTATCTTGACACTTTGCACCTAATTTTGTAGGCTGTGCTTGCATCAGTTATGTTATGCAAGCGATCAATTGCATACATAATTTGTCAGCAAGTAAAAACTAATTAACTGAATACTTTAAGGTACAGTAGCTGACCATTGTTTGCCATAGACATAAAAATATACAATACTATTGAGTCTTCAACAAAAATTAATTTAAGATTGTGTGTAATGTTTATAATGATTGCTGTTACGCTTAAGACTTTGCAAGAAACAAAATTTAATTTTGCGTGTAATTTAAAATATATAAAATTTTATATATAAAATTCTTACGTTCAACAACATGCAGATATATAATCATATATAATTTTGTATGCTGCATGTATATGAATTTATCTATTGAAACGAGAGGTTTCCGCGACAGAAGGAAATTATTTTTTATATAATACTCTAATTAATTTTCTATCAGATTGTTGGTTATTATCGCTTGCAAAACATTGAAATTTAATTCCGCGTTTACCTGTTTTTTCTTTTTTACATTATATATGCAATATAGCAACGGATGCTTGTACATGTGCACGGAATTTGTGTTTATTTTACAAAGAACGTAAATTACCTAATTACATTTAATTTTTTTCCTCTTTCTTTTCCTTGTCGCTTTCAGATTCTTGTTGCGATTGATTTTGACTGCTTTCTCTTTCCGCAGCCATCTGTAAAATCAACATATTTAAGTAACATTCACTCAACTTGCACAATACAATATATAATCGTACTAATCAAATCAATTTTCATAGTCTAAATACCTTTTTGTATGCCATTTCGAACAGTTTTAAACTGGCTTGTTGAAGTTCGTTTGTTTGCTTCTTTATCTCTTCGGGGTCTCTATCATCCTTCGTAGACAAAGTTTCTCGAAGTTTTGCAATCAATTCTTTAATCTTGTCGCACTACAAAAAAAAGTACAAAAATGTAACATGTACAAAAATGCCGATGAACAATATTAATAACAATTAATAATAATATTACCTCTTCTTGTGGTACTTGCGCTTTGAATTCTTCTAACTTCGACTCTGTGTCATGTATAATTCCTTCCGCTTGATTAATAGCTTCAACTCTATCTCTCTTAACTTTATCTGCCTTCGCGTACTGCTCTGCGTTTTTAACCATATTTTCAATTTCGTCTTTGCTAAGGCCACCACTGGACTGTATAACAACTGTAATGAAAAATGTGTTTTGAAATAACATCGTATGAGAAACAATTTAATGTTAATTACAATGATTAACAATGATTCAGTTAAAAGAATGTCTACACATCTTACTTTATCTTGTAAACTTAAGCGACGAAAAATAAACATCATTATAGCATATAATTACGCTTTCATTAATGTACGTGAGAAATAACATACTTTGTTGCTCTCTGCCAGTTCCCTTATCCCTAGCTGATACATGCACTATACCGTTCGCATCAATGTCGAACGTTACTTCTATTTGCGGTACACCCCTCGGTGCAGGTGGAATACCAACAAGGCTAAATTGTCCTAAGAGTTTATTATCGGTAGCCATTTCTCGTTCGCCTTGATGTACCTTAATCTCCACTTGAGTCTGACCATCTGCCGCCGTAGAGAATACCTGACTCTTTTTTGTAGGTATAGTTGTATTACGAGAGATTAATCTCGTGAATACACCACCGAGAGTCTCGATACCTATACAGCAAGATTAAAAGATTTTTCTTTCCTTTGCTATATATATGACATATACTGCTGTAACTTTATTTAAAAAGTTAGACAGATAGAAACTCAGTAAATCGGTATCTTCATTAATATCAGAGAGAAGATTAGTCTGACACATCAAAGTTTCATATGTATACGTGACAACGGAACAGCTTGAAATATCGTTGACTTACCTAACGATAAAGGCGTAACATCAAGCAACAGAACATCTGTCACATCTCCTGCGAGTACTCCTCCTTGAACCGCAGCGCCAACAGCGACAGCTTCATCTGGATTTACAGCCTTTGACGGCTGTCTACCAAATATTTCTTGAACTGTTTGTTGTACTTTAGGAACTCTGGTCATACCACCGACCAATAGAACTTCTCCAATGTCAGATTTCGAGACCTCAGCATCAGAAAGTGCTTTCTGACATGGCTGAACGGTACGTTTAATCAGATCATTTACGAGATTTTCAAATTTACTTCTGGACAATTTCAAATTTAAATGCTTTGGTCCATTTTGGTCCATAGTAAGGTAGGGTAGATTTATATCTGTCTGAAGTGAACTCGATAGCTCAATCTTAGCCTTCTCCGCTGCTTCTTTTAATCTTTGCATCGCCATTGCGTCTTTAGTTACGTCAATACCTTGCTGTAATGTTTTATTAAGTCGTTAGATACGATGTTATAATGAACCATTGTATTTAGTTGTAACAAAATACGTACTTCCTTTCTGAATTCTGTTACAAGATAATTAACTAAAGCATTATCGAAATCTTCTCCGCCTAAAAATGTATCTCCATTTGTGGATTTCACTTCAAAGACACCTTTCTGAATTTCCAAAATTGAGATATCGAAGGTACCTCCACCCAAGTCATAAACAGCAATACTAAAAAAGAAGAGAATTCTGTCATTTCTGTTGTTTTTCTTCTACAAACTATAAAAAATACATAGCATAAAGTTCAGTGGAGTATTTCAGCACTTTTAACATGTACGTATTTCTAAGAGACGAAAAATACAATCATCATTATATACAAAACAATATTTCTCATATTACATATCAATATAATACATTTCTTACATCTTGTCTTCCTGCTTATCCATGCCATATGCAAGTGCAGCTGCAGTTGGCTCATTAATTACACGAAGTACATTCAGTCCAGCTATCTGACCAGCATCCTTAGTTGCTTGTCGCTGTGAATCGTTAAAATAGGCTGGTACAGTGATAACAGCATTCTTCACAGAAGTGTTTAAGTAAGCTGCAGCGGTTTCCTTCATTTTCATAAGTACAAATGCTCCTATTTGACTAGGAGAGTACATTTTCCCGTCAGCACCCTGTACCCATGCATCTCCATTGGTTGCTTTTACAATTTTATACGACACACTTTTCCTGCAAAAATACATCATGTATATCAATATAAAAATATATGCCTGTGCAATTTTACATAGTAATGAACTATATAAACATTAATATGATACACACATATCCTTTTTTACTTCAGGATCTTCAAATCTGCGTCCAATCAATCGTTTTGTTGCGTAAAATGTATTGGCAGGATTCGTGACTGCTTGTCGCTTTGCAGGCATGCCAACTAAACGCTCGTCATCTGGAGAAAAACAATTATTTGTTAACTTCAAAATCTCTGAATGATCATTACTGAATTAATAAAACTTATGACAAAATATATAATAGAGTGCAAAGATTTGCAAATAGGTTGGAGTGTAGCAATGATACTAAGAATGATTCAGCAATTACCTTTTGTAAAAGCAACATAAGATGGAGTAGTTCTCGAGCCTTCAGCATTTTCTATAACTTTAGCTTGTTTACCTTCCATCACTGCTACACAAGAGAAAGTGGTTCCAAGATCGATACCAATCACTGCACCTTTTACACCTTCAGATCTACAAAAGATAATTTATTTTTAAATTATTTCAAATTAAATATATATATATATACATTTATATATCAATATAATTATGACATATATGTTGTTAATGTTGATTGTTAATATGGCATACTAATATTGATGAGATATCAATATATACATATATATATATATATATATATATATATATATATATAATTTATATATCATTTTTATATTTTATATATATCCTTTTTACTCACTTATGTCGATATTGTTGCAAATCAGTAAATCGTTGTGGTACGGTGACTAATGGAGCTGCAACCTATAGAATATCAACAATAATAGCATAAACTAATACATGTATATAAATAATGTTTACTTTATTAGAAATTACTTTATTGTACATACATATGCATGCATACATACAAGTAATCGTACATCAAATATTATCAAGGACATTTTTATTAAATAGGTTTAAGAAAAGAAGGAGGATTATAAAAATTAATATAAGTTAGATTTCCATTTTTATGCAAAGCAATATTTATATCAATTTCTAATATAAATTTAATATATATATATATATATATATATATCAAGTTTTCATGAAAATATATATTTTTATAAGTAGGATATCAGTGCAAAGCACCTTGTTGCAAAAAAAAATCAGTAATAGTATAAAAGTTTCTCAGAAACTTCAAACGATAATCAGTCTTGCTAAATAATTATAATGAAGAATAAGATATAAAAAAAATTGAACCTGCTATCATCCTTTACGACTTGCGAATATTTGCTGAACGCAAGATAACCATGCTCTCACGTGCCGGCTTTAAAATCGGCGTCATGACGAAATCAACGTACTGAAAAATTCTCTTGCAATTTACAGTCACGGAGTAATTTAAAATGTATCGGACACTAATAAATACGCATCGACAATGAGGATCTATCTTTCGTCACAAATAGCGACAACCTCAAGAAACTAGGAAAAGCACGACGGAGCCGTGTGACGATATCGCTATCGACTTACATTTTTCAGGATCGTGCTGAATTGTTGTTTCCTGATGATATCACAGGAAACACCAGTGTAACTGCGGCTTAGCATTCTCGCGGCGGTCAACATCTTGGTTTTCTTTGGACGATTCGTTGGAATTCCAGCGGCAAATTAGCAGGAGAGGCGGATCGCCTTCTTCACGTGTAATGATGCAACTCGAAGAGACTTGTAGTGCGCAGGCACGCTCACACTTCGCGGCGCTCCCCGTCGATGATCAGGCGATGGATATGCTCACGTCCTCTAATGAAACAACGGGGCGAGCAGAATCCGCCAATGGCAGGCGCGCACAGAGTCACGTCTCCCGTGACGCAAGAAACATCGCGAATGTTCCATGAGACGGGCGATCAGGCAAATAGAGCATCAAGTGAGAAAACGTTAAAAAAATACGTTATATACAGGCAGAATTATTTCGATAAAATGACGCGGCAGTCTGCAATGACTACATCGTATTGCGTTCAATGTCCGATGAATGGTAAGTCAAGCGGGTCTTACAACCGGAATTACGTGTAGCGTTGGGCGCTAGTTTCCGGGTTTCGAAAGCGACATGTTGATTCGAGCGTAAGGCACCGCGCGGCAAAGTTGTTGCACGGGACGATTCGGAGTAAATGAGATCGAATATCGTCTTGTCATCAATCCTTCATATCAAGTAACGTCACGATGATAACGGTTGCCGATACAAGTCGAAATCTGGTGATATTTAGTTTGTATTAGAGATGTACGCGGCGATTCCAAACTGACTTTTCTCAACACGAAAAGTACTTTGCCAATATAGCTTTCACATAACCATAAAAAAATATAATAACGCAAAGGATACAATAGAGAGAGATATATTGCCTTATATGTACTGTAATCTATCATATAGTACATTTTATTTGCGTATAATGTTGAAGTGATAGGTTAAGATAGTTTAAAGAATAATCCTACTGAGAAGAAAGAAAAGAGACAGAAGAATGTATGTTATATAGAAAATGTTTGATTCAAGCGATTAGCTGTAGAATTCACTTAACGTTGCAAATGCTTCGAAACGTCATACAGATTAATTGTAGTCGTTTCAAAACGTTAGTAGTTTCAAGTGAATTCCAACCTTCGTTAAAACATCGCGAATAAGAAAATGTTACGAAGGAACAATAGTTTCGACAAAGTGACATGGATACCATACGTTACGCGTTATTAAATTGAATTACAGCACGTACGGCAAGTCAGACTAAGCTTACAACCGGCGCTACATGTGGCGCTAGGCGCCAGTTTCCGAGTTTCGAAAACGACATGTTGATTCGAGTGTAAGGCATCGCGCGGCAAAGTTGTTACGGGAACGAGCGGCGATCCGGAATAAATGAGGTCGAATATCGTCTTCTCATCAACCCTTCATGTCGAGTAACGTCACGATGACAACGGTGGCCGACACAAGTCGAAATCAGGTGAGATTTCATTCGTATTAGAAACATACCCCACACAGCAAGAATGTCCCAAATATATCATAGAGATATCTTGAAGATATCACATATCCCAAATATATCTTTAGGATATCCCTATGATATATTTTGGACACCTCTGCTGTGTGGGACGCGACGATTCCAATTTCTCTTGTCCCAACGCGAAAAGTACCTTGCCAATATGGCTTTCATATAATCGTAAAAGATATAATAACGTAAAGGACACAATAGAGAGAAAGATATATATGCGTGTATGTCGCTGTAATCTGTCACATAGTATACTTTATTTGGACGCATATTGAAATTAATGCACATTGAAATTAAGATAGATTAAAGTTCGAAAAATAACTCTACCTAGAAGAAAGAAAAGAAACAAGGTGATATACGTTAGAATTGGGTTATTGCGTGTGCATTGCAAATGCTTCGAAGCATCGTACAGACAAATTGTAGTCTTTCCGCGTTCTAAAATGTTTGTAGCTTCAAATCTCACCCTTCGTCGAAATATCACGAATAAGAAAACGTTATGAGGGAAGAATATTCTCGATAAAGTGACGCGAGTAGTCTACCATACATTACGCGTTATTGCATTGAATTGCCGCGCGCGCGGCATCGGTGGCAAGTCAGAACGAGCTTACCACCGGAGCTACGCGTGGCGCTGGGCGCCAGTTTCCGAGTTTCGAAAGCGACATGTTGATTCGGGCGTAAAGTACCGCGCGGCAAAGTTGTTGCGCGTACGAAAGGGAGCGGCGATCCGGAATAATTGGACTTTCAAACGCCTTCTTCTCGTTAATTCTTCGTACCGAGTAACGTCACGATGACAACAGTTGCTGCATATAAGCCGAGATCAGGTAGGATTCAATTCGTATTGGAAACATACGCGGCGATCGAAAGTTCTCCAACGCGACAAGTATATTGCCAATATGGCCTCCGAATAAACGTATAAAATATAATAACGTAAAGGACGCGATAGAGATATCTGCCTCATAGGTTGTATATGTCGTTGCAATCTGTCATATAAATGCACTTTTATTTGGGCACAATACACACAAGTTAAAATAAGTTAAAGTCCTGCAACTAATCCTAGAAGAAAAAGAAAAAAGATAAAACGACGTATGCTACCGAAAATGCTCGATTTGGACGATCGAGCTATTTGTATGCGTATTATTATTCGGTGTGTTACTCCATCGGCACTCGTGTGTCGCTCCATCGTGTATTATTCATCCTTAAAATATCTCGTGCACGCACGCGCTCATACATATTGTTTCGTTGAAAATTTTCAAAATTTAAGCTATGCCATACTCTTTAGAAACATATTATATCGAATGTCCATGATGCGGACGCATTTGAGGAGTCTTAAAGATTAAATAACTCAAAACACTACAATAACGATGGTAGCTTGTAATAAAATTACAACGAGTAGTACAACAAAACGTGTATTAACAAATGTGCGTATTGGAAATGAGATGGAGATCATTATGAACAGTTCTTCCTTCGTTACATGAGGTATTAAAACTATCGCGACGTACATTATAATCTCAATTAAAAGGGAAGAATCTTATTCAACGATGATTTGATTATGAGAAATATCTTATTCTTAAATTTTTGATTTGTTATTGACACTTTCTTCATCCAACTTGGATCATGTCTCAAGTGAGATTACAATTGCAAATTTTTCCAACGGATCTTTACAGATAAGTTGTATTAACTGTGTTAATTTGACTCAGGCGATAGCATTTGTAATATCTTTTTTTATTCACGCGATTTGGTACGAGAGTAATAGTATCTCGCCAATTTCTATCGAACATGTGATCCCTAATGTGATCAGGAACAACATTATTTAACATGAGCAATATTAAAATATGATGATGAACGTGAGGTTTTGATTAAACCGCGTCTCCCGCCCTTTCCTTCCAAGCTGTGAAATTCAGGGCTCCTGCTATATAGGTCGTGCAATTCGTCATATCATTCCTGAAACGTGAAAGTAACATTATTGTTACATCGCTTGATATCATTAGTCGGTTGAATCATTGCATCATGCAGAGTCAATAAGTGATACTTTGAGATCGAAAATCATAATAGTTACAGAAAAGGATCTTTCAGGATAAAAGCTCGCGGCTGCATCCACTGTAGTCTGTCACCGTTGCGACACAAAATTTGCGCCATCGTACTCTTTCGTATCTCTTCCAACTGTTTTATCGTGAATGAACCGGGGGTATTCCCATTTTCGTACCAATACCTATCGCCTGTGAGAAAATTGTAAGAGATGAGATAAAAGTTCTGATTCTGTCACAAGTTTGCAAGACACGGGGCGCGCTTTACTTGGGTCTCACATCTTTTTACCCGCTCCTTTAAGATCGATATTGTAAGAGAAATTAAGGAAATGGGATACAAATCGATTGTTCGTAAATTTAACAGAGAAGAACGTGCTTCGTGCGATGTGAAATTTGTTTTGCTTCGTATCATTTAAATTTAAAGTATCAGACACGTACCTATCTTTAATATTTGTATTGTTTTGGTCCTAAATACGAATATTTAAACTTTCAACGTGAAAAAAATATATACATATATATATATATATATATATATATATATATATATATATATATATATATTCTATATATATATATATATTCTATATATATATGTTGAAAACTTAAATATTCGTATTTAAAAACCAAAGCACAATAACAATGTTCAAAATTAAGTACGTGTCCAGATATTGGTACTTTTACCTTGTTACTTTCTACGCGAAAATATAGAATAACGTCTACCTAAACGGATATTGCGAAACGTTCGGCCTAACAAGCAAAGAAACGTTGGTCCAAGAACGGAGTCAGGTACCGGCGCTTCCGAAAGTGCTCCAGTCACCAGATCTATATCCTCTACGTGCCTGTAAATGAAATTAGAACGTGCTTGTCAGAGCCAAATTTTCGCGAAAAATTTGTAAGATCGTATAATCTCGTAACGAGACAGTCTCGAGAGGTGCAAGTATGTGGCGATCTATATTACTATATCTCACCCTGTATTTCATCTTACTTGTAGACTGCTCGAAGTTTCTCGACAGTATCTTTGGTCACCGTGCCTTTGAGGTCCTGAAAGTCAGTGAGATCCGGCAGATCGCAGAAGCCTCGCCATTTGACATAAGGTGGCAGGCCGTGATCCCTTCCTTGTTGTATAATTTGCGCGGCGTAGTCCACGGCTACGTCGTTGGTCTTCCCGTCGTGGAAGTATCGTTCCAGAAGTATTTCGTTCAAGCCCGGAGGCAGAGGCTTCCTAGAATGTCCCGCTGTCGCGGAAATTAGATCTTGCACATCCTAGATCGTCATTAAAAGCAAGTTTTCATGGGAGTCGGTGTCGGTAAATCGTGGCAGCATCTTAGACAATTTTACTAGCATACGTGCACCGGGATTTCCAAGTTCTCCCTCTGCGAAAGTTCGAATCGGTTCGGGGAACAGAAAAGGGCCATCGGGGTACGCGCCCCGGCCGAAAGCGGTACTTAAATTTGCGCGGAGTTACGCGCGTCGGGCGACTCATCCTCCTTCACGAGCGTTATAATTTAGGAAACTTATACAATGACGTTTGCGCGCTCTCTCCGTGTGTTCGAGAAAATTATGTCAGCACTTGGAAAATTTCCGGCTAGCAAGCCGGGGATCGTTCCGCGGAATAGCGCCGCGAGATATAAAATTCGAAGGAATAAACCGGACTTCTTTTTTCCTTCCTTTCTTTTTACTTCCGACTGTTCCCAAATGACGGCTGGGACAAACGCGACGAGTACACGTCTCACGGAAACCCGATTTTTGCGTCACTCCGCTCCCCGAGACATGTACAAAAAAGTTTAATATCAACTTTTTTACGTTGACTTTCTTGAGTCACGTGCGCTCGTAAAATTTCGCAAAAAGTCCTCGCTGCAACGTGCCTTTCACCGATGTTACATTCTTTTCCACTATGTAATTAAAAAGTTCGCGCGCGCTATTGTTCGTGCGAAGATGGAAGTATATATTCCGTGAACTTTTGTGAGATCGTGTCGAAGCTCGCGTACTCCTCGCTCGCGCAGTCCTCACTCGCCTTCCCCGACGCGAGACGACGGATTTCGATTTAAGTTATCGACGATAAGAATTTCCTCGCTAATAAAACTCGGGGATGACATCTTTCTCGAAGGAAGAACGCGGATTGTCATATGAGAATTTTCTTCGTAATATCCTTCCCTTTCTCTCTCTCTCTCTCTCTTTCTCTCTCTCTCTCTCTCTCTCTCTCTCTCTCTCTCTCTCTCTCCCTCTCTCTCTCATAATATTTTCATAGAAACATAACGTTATACACCGTTTAAAGAAAAAGTGAAAGGTAATAGGGTTATCTGATAAAAAGTCAAATCAATTTTATGGAGACTGAACGGAGCGTGCGTGCGCGCGAAGCGCGACAATAGTAATCACAGTTAAGCGATTTACTCGCGAAACAACGGCATTCCTGCGTGTCATTATAAATTGTAATGCCATGTCCTCGCTCGACTGAAATGCATTTCAATACACGATCGAGCACAAGATGCACCGAAGCAGGTGCATTTCCCTTCACTCGAGAGATGACTTCCCTTATCTTTTTAACGCACCGAGGGAGCGTGACAGGTGATGCATTGATTTCCATCTTGGGTACACAAGCGCAGCTGACTTGATTGCCGGTATTGTGCAGTCTCCTCGGCTTCGCGTAATTTGAGTGACATTCATCACACTTGGCGCCGTGTGATGTTGTGCAAAAGCGGAGGAGTTTGCGCGTTAGAGAAGAATCCGAGTGAACGTTAGGCATTCTAATTTAGAAATCACGACATTATGGATGTAACGCGCGCACAGGATGAAATCCCAGCCGTTGGATAATCGCGCGTCACGATAGCGTTATGAGAACATAATCTCGCAGTCGGACTGCGAAGATTATCGCTTGATTTATGACGAATATTCCGCCGAGAGATATGAACGCTTTCGCGCGCATCCGTTTCTTACTACGCTTCTCCTCCATATTTCACTATCGTGCGACACGTCCCCTCCTCGCGTTTCAAGTATTGCGCCACGCCAAGCGTTTTCGACTGCAACGGGTAATTCTAACTGACCTGTAGCTCCGACGATCAGCCGGTCGATCGCGCCAGCCTCGTAGAACTCCTGCGGCGCGTAGAAGGCCGACAGTAAGGACCTTTCGCCAGACTTGAGCGCCGATCGCGAGTCGACGAGGTCGAGGGTTTTCGGGGTCAACGCCGCGACGAAGAAGAGCCCGGCCGACGCCGCCGAATTCGCGAGAGTCGCGTCCACGCGACTGTCGTAGCCGCGGAAGTAGCCCCGCTGTGTCAGTCGCAGGTTGAACCTTTGTAACAGAAACGAACAAATGCAACAACGGGAACGGTGATTGCACGCGTATGGTATAGGTCTCGCAGCGAGTGCGGGGGTCGATGTAATATGATGTAACTTGCTTGCGCCACGACTCTCGCATGTGCATGTGACGAGCATTGTACGATTTGGCGCCGGTCGGAGAACATTCGAGCGACTACAAAACGTCGTGGAAACCGGAGTCAGAGTTCGATTGGAATTTTCGTACGGTGATTATGCGAGCAGGGTCGTCGTATAAATCGATTCGGAAAGGGCACCAGCCAGCCGCGGCTGGCTCGGCCGCGGGAAAAACGCTCGTCGGCGGTTCGCGGGCCGTCCGACGCGCCTCATGAAAAAATTGCAAACAATAGGAAAGATAACTCGCTATGGGAGTCGCAGGCCTCTGTATGTGCGTGCGTGTGTGCCGTTACGTAAATATGTAAAATATGGCTCGATACACGCGCGCTCGCGCCATTGGAAATGAAGTACCGCTTTTCGTGTACCGCAGCACCGTTATCTGAATATCTTTCATCGCATACAGCCGGCTGTTGCGATTGGTTCTCGTAATGACCGTACAAGAAGCCGCGCTGAGCGGCCAAATGAAGCTATCGGGATGTAATGTCAGTTTGTAATTTATGAAATAGCCGGTATGCGCGATTAACGATGCGTGCGAGAAACGATAGACGCCAGTATGAAATTACTGCATCAAGTGACTCCGCCTGTCTGTTGAGGAACACGTTGTCGATACCAGTTTCAAGATACATCATGGTGATACACGTGTATCACGTGGCAACGACAAGCTTGTCAAATTTTTCACCTTTACCCATCCATTCAGGCAGAACATGCAGACAAATGTCGATTGAAAAAAAGAATTCGCTTAAAGACCGGTCAAGAACGCAATTCAGGAAAACGTTACGTACTTGTCGAGAGCGTTCTCCCCGAAGATGACTGGCAGAAACTCATTATAAGTTATGTGCTGCAACTCGGCGATAACGATTCGTCTCGCTTCCTGATAGAGTCTTTCGTCGTCCCAGTGAGGATTCAGTCGTTCCAATTCCCCGGCCACTCGATTATGCTCCCGTAAGAACAACACGTGCATCAGCGTGAGGCCCGGGTTCTCGTTCACCCTGGTGTCGCCGCTGAGGAAGCACGGGAACGCCTTGCTCGCGCTTCTGCAGCTCTCGTACCTCGGCGAGGCCATCGGTAGGTTCTTCCGCTGCGTGTTCAGCAAACCACCCCTGCCCGAACGCAAAGCGCGAGCCGTCTCCTCGGAGCTGCCGTAGAGCGGCGACAGGTCGAAATAGGAGGACGCCTGGTTGATCTGCTGCCGCGAACCCAACTTGCAACCCTGAATTGAACGATATCTGACGTACACGCGAATCTTCTCTACCCGAATCCTAATCCTGAATTTCTCTGCACATTGAAATATCAAATCTTTTCTCGCGTACTTGCGTATTTCATTTTAGTATACATTCACTATCTCCCCGCGATGCGTCTTGAGGAACGTCCAAGTTTCATTAGCAATTTTTGCTGAATATATCCGCCGTTATTTCGAAATTGAAATTTTCCATGCCATTCGCGCAAACGCGAGATGACCGACATCGACGTGGCGTCAGAGAGATTACCGTTGCCTTTCAAACGTATACGAGTGACAGAAGTTAATCCCCGAGTACAATTCGCGGGACATGCTGAAAGAGACTCCCGGATTGAAGTTCTTGCATAAAACGACGCGAAGCAATCACAGAGAGGCTTGATGACAGACTTCTCCAGGGGATTTCTCAAACACGAGTTACGTAAGGCCTCACTTTACGATTACCTGTAACGAATTTCCTGGATGCGGCGCCGACCGCGCGTACTCCATGCACCCGATTGGGTTCTCCGCCCGGATCGGAAAGCACTCGGGGTGGAAATTCTCATAGTCGACGTCGCAGCACTTGAGCCTGGTGCCGTCCGGTAATTCCATTCTGGGCGTGTGCGCCAAGTCGTGAGCGAGGAACTGACTGAAAAGCGCGGTGAGCGCCATCAAGTAAGGATGTTTAAGGTCCAACCCGCCGGAATGTACCTTCGAGGAGACTTCTCTCGCGCTCGGCAGCTTCGTACGGGGCAAGGACACGCCGTCTTCGTATTCTGGCGGCAAGAGTCTCACGTAAGGCTCCAAGGCCGCGCCCCAGGTCGGATGCAACGCGTTGTTGCACCGACCGGTGTGCGTCCTGAAACGGATATTCGCCTTCTTGCAGTCGGACATCAGCCGCAGGAAGCTGGGTGAGTCGGGACACAGGACGGCGGCTACCGTCGGCAGCACCGAGGACGCCTGCTTCGACGACATGTTGAGCGCCTCCACGAGCATCACCGCCATCGTTTCGATCCTCAGGGCCCTTCTCGAGAGATTTTGGGCGCCCTCGGTCATCTCGTGCGAGGCACCGAGGAACCAAGACGGTGAGCCACGGCTGAGGTGCGTCCGGGAGTTCAGGATCGCCCGTTCCGCCTGGCTGTACCGCTCCATGGAGACGTTGGTGCGCTTGCCGAGGTCCTGCAGCATCCTGGGCGGCAAGGTCGTGGCGCCGACGAGTGTCGTTAGAGCGAGGAATCTGCGGGGTCGGGATCTAAAGATAGAAGCATATCGCGGACGGTGATGCCGCGGCGAAGCGGCTACGCCCTCGACTCGAGGCGCGCTCTTGTACGCGAACGTACGCGTGTCTCGTCCGGCACGGCGGCGGCGTGTCGCTCATTGTTACCCAATAATTGTTATGCAGATTCAATGGCCACATTATTATCTAACTTAGCTACGAGACGCGATATAATCAATCATTGAAAGCGCAATTACATGGGGCTGAACGCCGAGGCGTGGCGCGGTGCGGCGTAGCGGTAAGGACGGGATCGCGCGTTCTCGTGCATCCGCATTGCAAATGAGCCGAAATGAATGTCAAACAGAAGTATCGTAGCCGCGACATTTGCCTGTCGCGAACGTGGGCAAATTTAAGGTCACGTCGATTTCTATCGATCCCGACTATAATAGGTCCGCGCGCGCAATTAGTCCTATTGGCGGAATGTTGCATTACCTCGCTATGTGCATCGTTAGCGTAAACTGTCTCTGCCTCTCTCTCTCTCTCTCTCTCTCTCTCTCTCTCTCTCTCTCTCTCTGTCTCTCTCCACTGTTGGATCTGCGTTTCAGCTCTGTATTAGCGATATAGACACACGATAAGATCTCGTTAAAGTCACGTACGACGACGTAACGCTGATGTACAGCGGGTTAAGGGCAAGCGCGGTTTCGCGTAATTTGCCCTACGTGACAGCGAAACCGAGACACATGATATTGAATAGATTACAAACACGTTTCGTAATTTATCGCGCGATCGCAATGAACTCCGGAGACCTTGTCTACGCGATGGCATTTCGCCTCGCTACATTGGAGGCATTATTCATGGCAGCGTTTACCGCAACAAATTCATTCATCAACTCGAGCATGTGCCTCGGGCCAATTTCTCGAGCGGGACTGTGCCATTTTTTACGATACGGCATAAGGTCGGAGCAGATACGAGCGACCTCAGGAGGAGGTCGAATGGGCTCTGACATTTAGGATCCTTCCTGGTTCTTTTGTGATTGCTTTACGTAATCTTCTTTATTCCCATGATTAGCGTTCGCGCGAATCGATGGAAACAATCACTTTGCGGATCGATCACTCTCGACCGATTACGTCTGAACCGTTAATCTCCTTATCGACCCGGAACTTCGTTGTTGTTCGAACACGAGCATGCACTTTGCGAGCGTGAGGGAGATTTGCGCTGACTTAAAGGATCGGTAGAATCGACAGGGTAGATTACATAATTACATTGCGTTAGAAACGTTATTCGCGTGATTTATCATCTCCATAGTAATCGACCATATGGAGGTCGTTAAGTACGTCGCTTCTCCGTACGAGGCCTCGAACCTGTCTCGCACAATTTTTTAACTTTGCAGTTACTAAGCAATTTTTCGCCAATTACCTGGCGAAAAGAATCGGACAATGTCGGATAGAATTAAGTCTGGATTTACATTAAATTTGAATTTAATTTCACAAGAGCTTGTAAAACTCTATCTTAAATTTTCGAGAATATTATTTTACGAAAATGATATTATAAGCTCTGATAACAATTAATGAAATAAACTTCAAAGAGTCAGATATAGATATCATAGTGCTGCAATGAAATAAAAGAGAATAATGTCACATGGTATCAAAATTGTAATTATTGAGAGATTATAATATTCAGTAAAAAATTTACGGTTCTTTTTGTTTGTTTTAATGTGGGTCTTGCCAATGTTATTATATTATCCACCATTAAAGAGTTCGGTTTAATATTATAATATCTCAATAATTACGATTTTTTTATGTATCATACAATATGATGGTTCTCTTTTATTTTATTATAACATTATGATGTTGTCTGGCTTTCAGACTTCTAATAAAGAAATAAATAAATATATATATATATATATATATATATATATATATATATATATATATATAACATTCGTGAGTCTGTTATGTTTCAGATGACTACATTCAAGGTGTCAAATTCAAAGGTGAAGGATTATGATGACTGTGCGCGAAGGACTACGATGACTGTGCGGAAATTTGCAATGACTGCATGTCGGTGCGGTGAGTTTTATATATTATATGTTATTTTCCCACACTGTTCTCTCATAAAATCCCGATTGACATTCGCAGTCTTCATCAGCAAAGATAATCGCCTTAAAGTAACTTATTATTTTCAAATAATAGTCAGAGATCGTAATTTACGAGACGTATTGTCTTGCGACAAGTCTGCGGCGCAGATCTTTGCGCGAGCCGACATAGTATGCGAGGCGCAGCGTCGTGCAATATTATTATAATAATTATAAAGCAATTAGTTTCGTATCGCCCACACGCGACAATCACACGTCGATTCGTAGTGATACTCTGAACGGATCTCGCGCGACGTAATCGTTAACCTTTGATGAAGTAATGAGATTGAGAGAAACGTACCTGACTACGAATACAAATCGTTATACCAAGACTTCAACACATTCATATTAGCAGCGGGGTTTCATAACGCTGCCGTTTCGCTGTTTATCCGCTGCTGAGATAGAATCTATGAGCTAATTATCCGATATGTAACAACCCACGCTTAATCAACTCTCCCGATTTCGAGGCGGGTAACGATCTTACGAAACTCATACTGGGAAAAATAATTATGTAAGCGCATTGTTCTCGCGCGCACGCGGTTTCATCTTTCGTATATTACGGACAGCAAGTTCCTCCGTTAACGGCGAGAAATTGCCAATCGGTCAGGATGTGACGTCGATTTACGGGTGAATTTTCTGATGACTGAATCTTCGACTCTTTATACGCAATCTCGAATCACTTCTCGTATGTAATTTTCAATTGTTTACTGCGCGGGAAACGAGACTGTTAGAGTCACTAAAATATGTGTTCAATCGTACATCCTCATCTATTTGTTATGTTGTGTTTCTCAATGATCAATAATGATTTATAAAATGTCAATGTGATCCATAAAGTGGAAAGGAGTTTGTAATTTTGCAAACATCACAAGGATTACCGCGTCGAATCGCGAGTTGCATTTTACATCTTATTATTTGAAATCGGACGCATCGCCATTTCTTTCTTTGTTTTCGAAGAATAACGGTAATCGTTAACCTATCGCGTTCGCTGAAACGTATAATTAAAAAGCACTCACCGTGATACGAAGACGAGCGTGTTACCGGCGGCGATGTTTCTGGCGAGGACCAACATCTTTCTCGAGATAATGCACGCGATGTCCTCGCAACGTAAGGATCACTCCTGTACTTAATACGCGGTGGCATTCATCTGCCTCGTGGAATTTCGCAAGAGCCGCGTGAGAGCGGTGTGCGCGAGAACGCGCAGCGGTAAACCTGAACTGAGTGCGATGCTCGAACGAACGAAAGTAAAACTCGTAGTCCGTCCGGTCTATCCCGGAGAGTGGGGTCCCAACCAGGATCGCAGCAATCGCGGGGTATCAATGGTGTGTGCACGGTGGTGCATCGAAGTATAACACGTACGCGGCTCTGGTAAAAGTGCATCGCCGCGGCGGCCCGTATCAGTGTGTTATGAACGGGACCAAGGTTCGCCTTTCCTCGGCTATGTTATTGGGAATTGCGGCCGTAGGTGCCGAAGGTTTCAAGGCCCGACACTCCGTTCGCACCTTCGTTCGCGCATCGCGAGACGGCATGCGTAGATATCGCACGCGCGCGTATTCCTTTGCATAATGTCATAACAGTAGACACATCGCAGCGCCATTGCGCTATGTTAATTGTCGCACACGGGCTCGACCGCGATGTCGCTCGCGGATTAAGATTCCTCGAGATGACACCATCCGTGACTCATTTGGACGGTCGCACGCGTTCCGTCGCAAGCTACTTTCCCTGCGTAGATTAACATAGTCACACCGGCAATAAATCGCGCGGGTCGCATTGCGTGCGTGGGACGAGACAAAACGGCTGTCTTCATCAAGCGGAGGTTTCTCTTGGCGCTCAGCATCTATCATCGAAATTCGAAATAAGAAGACAATGTAGTTGAAGCGCGATCAGTAAAGTATGGCTTGCAACTGCACGCAGGTTCAACTAGTAACATTGTAACTTCGTTTTGTCGCAAGATTCGGACGTAAAATCGCATGATAACTACAAGTAAATAAATATTCGTAGTTCTTTTATTCATGTCCTATCGATCGTTAATACATCTTCTTTTTTGTTTTGTCGTAATATTCCACTTTATTAAATCGTACAGTAGTTATTTGTGTTTGTCGTTATAATTGTAGCAATACGTACGGCTCGTTTTAATTTACAACGTTGTGTATTAAGAGCGTACATCGTCCGTGTTATCGAGAACCGCGCCACTGTAAGCCAAGTCCCAATAATGTTCGACTTGATGTTTCTTAAAGTGCTCTCGAGCCATTTTTTCGATCGGGCACAGTTTGGTTTTCACGTCACCGAAGTGTCGCTGTTTGCTCGTTCCCTCCCAAACTAGGACGCATCTATTCGGTACGTCGTTTCCGTCGTTATCCTTGACCATGTCCTCTTCCCATTTGACGCGGTGCATCATCAGTCGTTTGTACTTAGCTAATTGTTTCGCTCCACCCTCCACTACAATAACATTACAGTCCCGGAATAGCATCACGCAGCCGGTGAGGTAAAGTTGTTTCGCGTTGGTTTCCACTTTGAATTTCTTTGAAGCGTTGTTATTGGTAAGATCGCGTATTCTATAAAGACATTTATCACGTGTTACATACACAAAAATATATATCTACGTAATGTATGTATATATTCACGCACCTATAGACGGCAACGTGTACCCCAAGACTAGTGTCTTCCTTGAGTTTTCTAGCTTTCTTCTCGCGACGCTGGTCAGCAGTAAGTCTCCGCGCTGCATTCGCGTCCTCATGAGCTTTCAGCCTCTTGGCCATTTGTTGCCGAACGTGAGCTTCGATTTTAGTAGGATCCTGTACAGCTTCGGTCCCTAAAACTCGCATGAGATTCGAGATACGTAGCTTCGGCTCTGGCGGTGGTTCTAGACCTAATCGAATCTTCTCCTGCTCCTCTTTCCATGCCTCTCGTCTGTTCTGCCTCCTCAATTTCTTACGTTCTTTCTTCGTGAGGAAAACAGGCATGTATACCGGTTTCAAAGGATCCGCTGCAACAATGATCAGGAACATGATATTACAAATCATCTGTACACTATAATGAAACACGATAAGATAAAGATAACGACAAAAATAAAATAGATGCAAGACTTACTTGGGGGTCGCATTTGCGTCGGATGCTCCACTAAATTGGTGATAGTCAAATTTTTTATTGCAGTCGGCTCGCTTTCGTTGGGATATGCGGCAGTTAATATGACGGAATCCCACCATTCTACATTAGGCACGTCTTCGCAGAGAGCTTCATTTTTAGGTGCTATGAGAGCTAATTTGGTCGCCGAGCTAATTCCAGTTTTTCTAGCAATTTGACTAATTTCATTTTGTAATTTCTCCAACTGCGCTTTCATACGCATTCTTTCCGCTTGCTGTTGGAACTTGCCTGGCTCGTGGAATTTCAGTGAACGTTTACCACGCACCGCTGACTTTACTCTTATCCTGTTATCGAAAAAATGCGTGTCTTGTATTTCCTCCGGCCCTTTCGACTCTTGCAACTGAGCTTTAAATTCTTCCCGTTTCTTCGCACGTATATTAGCTTTCAAGGTAGGCACCACTTGAGTGAGTTGCACTTCTTTGCCCGTAATATCTACTGTTCTGCCAGACTCGTCCAAGATCAAAGGTGTCGGTTTATCTGGTACATTGACGTTACCAAGTACCCCTGAGTTCAGTTTATTTCTGATCTGAGCTTGCAACGCAGCTATTTTCCGCGCTTTGTCCGAGTCTGTTTTACTTAAAAGGCCCTGGTTATACATGCTTCCCACTGTAGGTAATGTGTCGCGCCCTTTGAACAATGATTTTGTAGAAACATCCTCTTGATTTGTTGCTTTCAAAGCTCTTTTCCTTTCTTCTATTTCCCTCTGCGCATTGGCCATCATCTGTCTAATCTAAAAAGAATACAAAGCTAGTGTTAGGATACATAAAGAAAGATATTATATGCTAATATTTAGAAAATTATGGTTTTTTTTGTACAAATAGAAGTTTCACAATATACCTTGTCCTCAGAATATTGAGTCTCTATGGGTTTCTCAGTTTTTACATCGTCATCTCGGAATCTTGATTTCTTTGCATCTTTGTCCTTATCCTTGTCCTCAGCATGAGTCCTTTTCTTACTTTTTTGAGCTGCTTTAGTATCATCGTATATTGTAAATATCTTTTCTGTCAATTTGGAAGCTTTCTTTTCTTCCAATAATGCTGATAATTTATCTATAATTTAAAAAATACATATTTGTTACAAAATAATACATATACATGTCATGTGTCATGCTATACGGATATATGTTATGATATACATACGTATATGCCTACTTTACTCATTGTAAAAATTATAAAGGATAAATCTTTTATTTCCAACTAAGTTCTTTACTGACCTGCTGTTTTGCGTTTGTCATAGCCAGAAGTAATGCAATTTACAGCTGTAGTAACTATTGCTGGTTCACTGAAGCCAAGAAACTTGTGAACCGCTTTCTCAATCTGAGGTTTCATTTCGTCTATTTCTTTTCTCGTTAAATACGACATTTTTCTTCTAACACTTTATTTTATTCACTGAATTCACAAATTGCAATTTGCAAATTTATAACAAAAGTCTATCTTCATGACATAACCTTAGCAGATTTTAAGGTTAGGTATCACCACCAAGCTCGCACGGTTTAAAAATAATTATAATGAATTGTATTCAAAATTAAGATTTTAATTTCTTATACAAGAGAACATACATATATGTATATTCTCTTTATATTTGCACTGCACTGACAAACTAAACAGTAGGCTTGCTATAGCGTCACGTTGCTTGCGTTCAGAAAACATAACCGTTGTTACAATTATGGCGTTGACCAATCAGATAGGGTCTCACAAGATAATCCATTTTCTTCATATTTTCCTCAAACGCAACTATTGATGTATTCTACTTTTGAAGTACGAATTCCAAAAAAATCAGATCCGAACGTGTTCGAACACGTCTTAACGTAATGATAACGGTAAATCTCTCTCAATGGGCGCGTTCAGCGGAAAAAGCGCTCAGTGAACAATCAGCGATTATTGGTTCTTACTGTTAGATCCCTAAATCTAGATCAGTTACATTGACAAATTATTCAATTGTTGTGCAACTGTTGAGTTCGCTGAACGCATCCAATATTACATACGTCGTATGACAAATATTGTCGGCCGTGTCAATTGGCTGATGGATAAAATTCTCCTAAAGTCCCTAACTTTTTTTTCCATGTACCCAAGATATTCTCTATCTGACAGCCAATTAGAGCGTCCGACAAGCATGTAATATTAGCCTGATGCGTCATCTACAATGCTAGTAGGAGTAGTAGTAAGAAATAAGCAGTAAGTAAATGGACCAATCATAATCAATTATTCTTGAATCGTAAGAATGGAATTGGTCCATTTACTTACTGCTTGTTTGTTACTACTATTTCTACTGCCACTATAGACGACGTATTATATGTTTATAGAAAAGGGAATTTCTAACAACTGCATGACTTACATGTTATTCTCTAGAGTTGCTCTGTTCCTATTAGAACTCAATTACCATTGGTCGGCAGTTATCTTCTTGTATTGATCTCCAGTGACTGTAAATTCCCTAGTCTCTTCTGTTCTCTTTCTCTCTCTCTCTATCTTTCTCCCTCTCTCCCTCTCTTTTTCCTATAGTAAAAAATGAAAAAATAGGAACGTAGAAATATAAATTATAGATTTTACCAGTAGGATTTACTCATAATTTTTCCTATATTTTTATATGGATATTAATAACATAATTATTCGAAGTATTAATTTCCTGATACTTGCTCATTTTGCTAATGACGGTATTTACACTCACCCTTGAAGCGAGAAGGGCTCTCAAGGGAGATTTAGGTAGCTTCTCGTAATTAGCACGCATTGACCCTTGACTGGATCTTCAAGTTTGAGAGGTTATGCATACAACACGTTGTGCACTTTGATACTCCTGTATATAGACATCGCGTCAATAAGAAAGAGAGTAAATTTACTTTGTCGCAATATATTTATTATTGCACGAATTATTTTATATATATATATATATATATATATATATATATATAATAAAAATCTATTTTAATAAATTTTATTTCTTAATAATTTTAAAAAATAAAGTTGTGGAGCAAATTTTAAGTACCATTTTATATTCTTCTTTTATTCGACATTTTAAAACGATATTATATTAAGTCGCAGATTTTATATTATGTTAATATAAGAAGACAAAATATAATTTGTTGGATTTATGATATTTCTTATTTAGGACATGGGTACAATTTGCTCTCGTATTATTTCGAAGAAATGTCTGAAAGCTTGAAAGAAAAACATTAATAATAATATTCGGACACAATTTTTCTTTCATTTGCTTGGTGGAAGACATAAAGTAGAATTGGGAAATATAAAAGAGAGGAAAAACAAATAACGACGAAGATATTTTTACGTAACAATTTATTTACTTGAAATAACATGTTTGTGCTATTACCTGAATGCAAAAAAAAAACACTTTATAACATGGCATTAACCGATCTGGAGTAGCAGCCTGAGATGGACGTATGTGGTACGCTGACGAAAATATTGTACATACGTAAAAAATTCTTTCATTTAATTACATCATCTATTACCGTGACATGGTCTAATCAGAACATTGCGTGAGAATCGAATTACTGAATTTCGACGCTCGTTCTCAACCACTTTCAATAGTTTCGGCGGGTACCGAAGCGCTGAACAATCAATCACTATGCATCTTACGGCCGTTCAGAGGAGACTTACAACGTAACGTGTTGTTGGAACGAAATATACGAAGGTGTAAAGGACGAAAGCGGTTGCGAGGGTGGTGGAATGGCAGTGGACCGACAACCGCAAATGAGAATGGCAGAGGGAACTACGCTGTTCCACGCTTCTCTGGTGACCGATGAGGCCAATTCTGCGAACCACATTTGCTCCATTCCAAGGCTGTTGCTCTAAACTTTTCTGTTGATTGAAATGAAGGAATTGGAATTCCGCGCCTCGCATTTCCTTTGTTCGGTTTAGGCATCAATTAAACTTAATTGGCGCTTACGATATATCGTGGCGCATTACTGTTTATTTCTCCGAGTCGAAATTTTGATTCTACATTAACTCTGCAAATTTCGTCAAACTTGAATGCAACACTATGTAAGCTATATATTGATCACACTGACAAGTAATCCTATCCAAAAAGTACATTCCGATTTCTTTCTAATTTGGCACAAATGTAGAAGTACAAAAAATATTTAGGTCATATATTTTCATTTTAGCTCACTTTAAGTTTCACGGGCACGTTTTTAACCTAAAGAGATTAAAAAAAAGATTTATTTTAGAATTATTTAATGTTCGATTATTTTTAATTTCTCTCACTCTCTCTCTCTCTCTCTCTCTCTCTCTCTCTCTCTCTCTCTCTTTCTTAATATTTTAACTCATTTAATCTTTATTCTTAATTACAATATATTAATTATGTAACTTATTTAATGATTAATAATAAAATATTAAATAATCCGATTAAAAGGAGTAGATAACAAAATTTTATTTTTTCTTAACTTTTTAATTATTTTTCTTCACAGGCATGGAAAATTTTAATATGATTTAAGAAATTAAAAAAGGGGAAACGAAAGAATAGTAAAATCGAATACGACTATGAATGCCGGCCTTAGAATTTAATGTAAATCTTGCGAATGTTGATTTTTACGTCTAATAAGGCTTTCCGGGAGCCGAGAGAGTTTCATCTTGTTTACATTTGAAACGCTTTCTTTCTATTTCTGTTTGCCTTGTTTTGTACGGAATCCAAATTGAAATCTTTATTGGTAAACAGCATTATTGGGCACACAATTGTTATCTTTGCCTTTATAACATCTTCCTTATTAGCTCTTTTAAAAACTTCATATCCAAACCAGATTTCAGCATTAAAAAAAAGAGTATAAAAATTTAATGCTCATGTTACCCCAATCTATACACATTAATTTATATTAGATAATTAAATTATTAGATATATTAGATATATTAGATATATTAGATCCATATACATTAATTTATATTAAATAATTAGATTATTAGATATATTAGATTATTTAATATTTAATTACCTCGCGCATTTTATATATATTTGCCACTGAATAAATCATGATTAATTAATTAAAACACTGCTGGGGAAAATTAAAAATAAAAATTTAATACAAGTAGAATATTGAAATAATCAAATATTAAATACTATTAAAATATAATATAAATATAAAGTAATATTGAAATAAGTTTTTCTTTGAAATTTTAAAGTAATTTAATTTAATTAAATTTAAAATATAATAATATAAAATAATATATTGAAATAAGTTTTTAAATTTTCAACATAAACACAATAATAAAAAAACTATTTATAAAAGTCAAGGTAGGATAGTTTGTATAGCGATATATTTCGAGATTCTTCATTGATCCTTCAAGTTTGATGAAATTTGCAGGTTTAATGTAGAACCAAAATTTCGACTTGGGTCGCATTTTACAAGATGCGCCGGCTAACATTTATGTACTGTTTTTCACTGGCATAAAATAAACATACTGGCGTCTGATAATTAATGAATGAGTATCCTGGAAATAAGTGGTCTACGTTTAATGATGCAAACAACGCGAGAGCATTTTACTTATTTCGTTTCGCATATTATATTAATATCATATCGTTGTTTATAAATTTGGCGCGAAAAAATTCTGGAAACGGTATTTCAAAAATCCGTACAAATCTGATCCCGCTAGTATATGTACCCGCGATATATAAGGTAAATAAAACAGAAAATGTGTAAAAATTTATATATATATATATATATATATATATATATATATATATATAATCGCGCATTGTAAATATAAAATCAGAACTAATATGTAAAGAACACGCGAGGACGGTCGAGGGCGAACGCAAAAATGAAGATATGTTCTCGAAAAGTGCATTAGGTCTGGTTAAGTTGCAACTTCCGACTATAGGTAGTCATATAGGTTGTTTGATTTGTATTCGCTAGTAAAAGTTGTACCATAGCTATCTGTTAGGCAAATTACTACAAAGTAACTGAAACTGACTGTTGATACGGAACGGGATATCTAGCGTGAACGTAACATGCAGTTCCTGGATCCAGTTTGTATAAAACCAAACTTCATCCCAACTGCAAAATTCAGCGTACAGCGTAAAATCGATCGTGAACTTTTTATTGGAATTATTTCGTGTAAAAAATATGTGATCTGGCGCCGCGACAATTGACCAGAATTTTTCAAACGTCATTTTTGTATAAAAAAATTTTACGCAACGGGAACGCGCAGTAACGTTGTATCGCCGAGTACGCGGAAGTAATTTAGCGGATTAAAAAAAAAACCGATCGATTGCTATTATTTCGATATTTCTTTCTTGTTTCATCGGAAATACTCTCGCGCCGATTGATTTTCCTTCCGCTGTAAAAGGCTATTACGGATCATAAAAGTTTCGCTCTAGCCGCACGAATTTATTTTATAGAAACTTTAACGTTCTCGGGGAGGTATGTAAAAAATAAGGATATGTAAATGGTTGTATATAACGGCCATTGATGTATCGCGTAAACCGCGTCCTCGCCTCGATAACGCTCCTCGATACCGGCGGCAGTTGCCATAACTTTGAAGTAATTCTGCTTTTTACGTTGCAAATCATAGGAAAGAGAACTTACATTTCAAGAATCTTTCATCCCCTTAAAACAGACTCTGCAGACGATGCACCTTTCCGGAATAGTCCAATACCTTCTTTTTTTTTACGATCGCGTTCTGCCTCGCTTGGCTCTTGACTGTATAGCCCATATCTATCTTCGTGAGGCCATAAAATTGCGGTGCTTCCGTTCCCGTGCTCTGACTGTACAGATAAGTGGCAGGATTCAGAGTCTTTATCCGTGAGACATACACCGTCAACGTCTTGATAATCACGAGAACCACATTAATCCGCCGCATTAACGGGACGAGCTTAGGATCGTTTATCACCGTGGTCGATGCGAACTAGCTTTCGCGACTCGGGAGCAGTAAATAATCATGCAGTTGCGAGGCAAATAGGAACAGTCCTGTCTAATGATCCGTCCGTAACATAACGGGGTCCGCCAGCGTGCAAAGGCGTTCCAGTTGGCTTGATTTACTTCGATCACCGGTTCTCTCGGACGAATCCCCCCGCAAACATATTATATTCGTGCAATCTTGCGCAAAAAGTTATCCGGTTATTCGTAACAACGGCGCGATACGCGCCATACCTCGCGAGTTATATTCAGTCCCTACGTATCGGGTCAGTCGTGTTTCTTCGTAAATTTAACGATTTTGCCGGTAGACGTGGGCACGTCCCGAAATGATGTACGGTTCGCTCGTATGAGTCGGCAGCTAATGCTCTAATATGCGCAAAGGGTGCCATGCCCGTGTCACGCGGATTACCACTAATTGTAGTTTATGCTTTATACTACGCTATTCTCTTGTACGGCCGTTGGGTATTCGATGTATTAACGGAGAGCGGCGACTGTGTGCGTTGGCGTATACAGAGACGTACGCGTATCTACATATCACGCGCGTAAAGATACGTGATGGATCGTATATACGTATATGTATACACGTGCTGCTGAACGTGTATCCATATGATAGAGGTTCCCAAATTTTGTCGCCAATAACCCCAAATCTCACCATCTCCCGAGATACAACGTTCATTTTTATCATTTAGTCTAACGATACTTCGAGGATAATTAAAAGCGTTATCTGACGCGTTTGCAGGCTCGCGAGATTTATGTTAATTATATTTACATGTCTCTTTCCGTTTTTGTTACTTGTGCCTGTGGATTTGGAAATATTAAATGTAGAAATACTCGGCAAGGACAGCTTTCACTAAAGAAGTGCTTGAGCAAAGCTACTTCGAAATTTATTAGACGTAATCACCGTATCTCTGATATTGCTATGCCGTTATCAATCGGGAGACGATCCTTTCCATGTATTCATATTGATATTCATTTCACTCGCGTTTGATCATTTCTCGCGAATTTTCCAAATAAATCCGAATATGATACACGGGAATATATATGCGAGACTCGGCGAGATCAGTCTCTCTCTCTCTCTCTCTCTCTCTCTCTCTCTCTCTCTCTCTCTCTCATCGCGAAAAAGGAAACGACGCTTGCCGGCGCAGCGAAATTAGCACGGCCAAGAAAATAATTAGTGCAACGCGACACGTGAGTGGTTGAGCATTGCTGCGATGCTGCAGCACGCGCGGGACGAACGGGGAGCTCGGACTTTCTCAGCTGTCATGTCCGCGCGTCCGTCAGCCGGGCTAAAATAACCGGGCACCGCACCCCTGCCTCGCAATTAAGCGCGACTATATCTACCGGCTGTACGCAACGTACGATCCCTCCCGTCTACGCAGAAACGTGTACGCAGGTGTGCGCGAATATGTGGAGAGAGGAAGAAAGAGAGAAAAAGAGAGAGAGAGAGACCCTCGCACAAAGGGTGCATTCACAGAGTGGTATCCGCAGCTTCCAACGCGAGGCTTGCTCTGGAGATCGTCGGTTCATTTTCAATTTCGCCACGCGCCACACGTCGTCGCTCGCGTTATTCGGTAATTACTGACTGGCGGATTTGTGGTACTTTTGAATGTACGTAGAAACACGTCGTTCAGTCACTGCAGGAAGCATTCGGCGCTCTTGCGTTCGTCACAAGAGCCTCACACTTTTGAAAGACGCAACGAATGTTGAATATTTTCTGCAGTGATGCGCGATATCGTCGGAGCTGTTTAAATCTATCTTTGCATATATAGCAGTGTGCATTTTTCTCCTTTGTCTCTTGGAACATTTCAAATAGACATCTCCTGCCGATTCAAGCGGCATTTATTGACCGAGTTTTCAAGATGTTCTTGTATGCCTGTAACGTGGAAATTATTTGAGATATCGGAATACGCAAATGTTTGCAGGATTAAATTGTCAGCGCACCGTAACTCCCGGCTCTTCTTTTTCGATTGGTGTTTTGCGCGCTGCGACATAGCGTTTCTTCTCTTCTCCTCGTCCCCGTGCTTGCTGCGTCTGTATAATTACCCGCGTTGTGGCGCGCAACGCGCACGTCCCTTATTTTTTTAACGGGTAGAACAAGCGTATACAGCCGTTATATCTCGCGACTACTAT